TCTCTTCCGAGTCTCTTCTCTATTCTGTCAGGAGCAAGCAAGACGAACGAGTCTTGCGTACCTGTATTCTCTCCGTCCACGTTTCCTTCTCTATTCTGTCCCTTCTCCTCTCTCTTCTCTTTTTCCGAGTCTCACTCTCTATCCCCCCTCCCCCCTGCCATCTTCCTCACCCTCCCCACCTCTACTCTCCCCACCCCTCTCCCTCCCCCCTTTTTCACCCCCCCCCAGATCCGCCTGTGCCTGCCTCTTCTCGCTGCTGCGCTTCCAGCACGAAAACGTCTTTCGGGTCAACTCAAGAGTCATCTCTCCCTCCCCCCTTCCCCCCCACCCCCCGTTCCCCTCGCAGATCCGCCTGCGTCTGTCTCTTCTCTCTCCTGCGCTTCCAGCACGAAAACGTCTCCCCGCGTCCCACGCCGCACGTCGCGCCGACGTTGCCGGGGGACGTCGTCCTGCACGCCCAGCGCCCCGCGTCCCCCGTCCCCGGCGGGAGCTCCGCGCACGGGGGGTGGGCGCTAGCTCCGCTCGTGCGCACGGGCAGCGGAAGCACGGGGGGATTCGGCGGGAGCGGGGGACTGATCCGCACGGCCAGCGGGGGGTTCAGCGGCGGCGGCGGCGGCGGTGGCGGTGGCGGCGGCGGAGCGCTGAGCAGCCGCAGCAGGAGCGCGAGCCCCGTTCCCGGCGCGAGATACGGCGCGGAGAGAGAGCGCGACCTGGCTGTAGCGCTAGAGCGGGAGCGAGAGAGCGACCGAATGGGACGAGAGAGAGAACGCGAGCGGGAGAGGGAGAGGGAGCAGGAGATGTATGATCATCAACATCATCAACATGACCATCATCACCATCATCACCATCATCACCACCGGCAGCGCTCCTTGTCGCCCTTACCTTCTACCACCGCCTCTGGCGCATCGTCCGCCGCGTCTCTCGGGTACGGGCCGACGTACCGCGCTCTGACGGGGCGCGATGACGTGGACTCGCTCGACGGCTTCTCGCTGCTCCACTCCGATTCGCTCTCCTCCTCCGCCTCGGGCATGCTCGGCTCGCTTGCGCCCACCAGCCCCCGCTACGGCGGCGGCTCGCCCGTTTCCGCCTCCGCCGCGGCGCCGGCAGCGGCAGCGGCGGCGGCGGCGGCGGGGGCTGCTGCTCCACCTTCCCCCGCGGCGTTCTGGCCGCTCGTGCCGGGGGGAAGCTCTGTAGGGCCCTCTGCTGCCGCAGCGGCAGCGGCGGCGGCGGCAGCTGCTGCGGCGGCAGCCGCCGCGACGGCGGGTCCCCAGTCTCCGCGTTCCGCGGTGTACGCGCAGATAATGGCGGAAATGCGGCAGCAGCTGGCGTCATTAGGGGGTGGCGCGGCGCAGGGAGCGCATGGCGGTGGCGCGACGGGCGGAATGGTGGGGGGAATGTCGGTGCACGAGGTGGCTGCTGCTGCTGTCGCCGCTGCGACTCTCGCTAACGAGCAGCACCAGCAGCAGCAGCAGCAGGCGCAGGCGCAAGCGCAGCAGCAGCAAGCGGTGGCGGCGGCGGCGGCGGCGGCAGCGGCAGCCGCGGCAGCAGGAGGCGGCGATTTCCAGACGATACTCTCAAAGATGATGCTAGCCTCTTCTAACCCGTCCCAGCCACCGCCGCCGGCGCAGGTGCTGCCGCTGCAGCAGCAGCAGGTGCATCATCCGTTCCCCGCTGGCCAAGGCGGTAGCTCGCACGTCCTCCCAGCGGTGCACTCGTCAGCTGCCGCTACGGGTAGCTCTACCACTACTGGCGGCGCCGCGAAAAGCAGCGTGACTAGCGCGGCTCCGACTGTGACACTATCGGAGGGCATGGAAGAACTCAAATCAGGAACTACTATCGGCGGCAATTGCGACGGCAGCACTGGTGGTTCCACCAGCGGAAGTGGCGGCGGCAGCAGGTGGAGACAGCCCGCTCGGCGCGCTGCGCGCGGGCGGTCGGAGGGGCGCACGCTGGCTGGCGGCGCACGCATCGGTGGCAGCAGCGCGGCAGGTGGCGGCGGCACGGCGGGGCAGGGGGAAGCCGCCGGGGGGGCAGCAGGCGGCGGCGCAAAGGTTGACGGGCAAACGGCGGAAGCGAAAGCGGGCGGTGGCACCAGCGCCAGGGGCGGCGGCGGCGGCGGCGGCGCGTTTTGGCCTTCAGGCGCATCGGACGACTCGGACTCGGGGAGCTTCTACGGCCCTGCTGCGGCAGAACTGGAGACTGCTGCGCGCGCGGCCGCGGCGGCGGATGGCGGGGGAGGGGGAAGCGGAGGTGGAAGAGCGGGCGGAGCGCTTGAGAGAGCTTCAGCGGGGGAAGAGATAGGGGCGCAGGTAGCGGGAGAGGAGAAGGGGCACCTGTCGGATCACAGTGCAGGAGGTCTGTCGCACAGCTCGCAAGGGACGCAGGGGTCGCACAGGTCCCAGAGCTCGAGCGGGGATTTGCGAAATTTCGCAGGCGGCGTGTTTCTCGGGTCGTCGTCGTCCTCCGCCGGCAGGGACGGCAGCGCTAACGGCGGCGGAAGCAGCAGCGGGGGAAGCAGCGGTAGCAGCAGCGGGCCGAGCAGGAACAACAGCAGCGGGGGAAGCAGCAGCGGGGGAGATTCCTCCGCGGAGTCGGAAGCCGCGGCGGCGCTGCCCGCGTCTGTGGCGCGGAGATGGCGCAGGGCGGGCGGGAGGTCGTCCCCCAGCGGATATTGGAAGAACGGCGCTGGCGGGGGGACTGGCGGAATTTTCCGGGAGGGGAGCGGGGAGATGGAGCAGATGAGCCTGGATGGCGGAGTGGGGGATACACTTTCCGCCCCGCGCAAGTCCCCCATCCCTTCCCCCCCCCGCTCACCGCGCGCGCTAACGATTCCGCCGCCACTTTCGCTGCCGTTTGACTCCGCGGATGGAGGCGGAACTTTGGGCGGAAAGGGGGCGGGCGCGGGGGATCAGGTGGCAAGAAGCAGAAGCATTTCCCCGCTGGCCTCCCCCTCGCCTGCGCGTGAGTGGGCCGCGTGGACGCATGATTGGTCAGGAACGAGCAGCGGTAACTCGCGAAACAATTCGCGAAGCCCCTCGCCCAAGCCAGTGAAAAGCCCCAGCCCCGAGCCTGCAGGCTCGGACGGGTCACCCAGGTTTGGAAACGCGCGAGCCTGGGGTGGAGCAGGTTCGGCAGGGGGGGGAAGGCAGGTGCAAGCTACGGATGCTACAGTGAGGAGCTTTGCGGAATGGATAGACGTGAAGAGGGGGATGGGAGGGGAGAGGGGGGAGAGAGTGGCGGAGGGGGCGAAGGGGGAGAAGGGGGAGAAGGGGGAGAAGCAGCAGCAGCTGGGGGGGATTGAGGTTGGGGATGAGTATGGGGAACAGTTGAGCAAGGGAGGTGGGCGAGAGAAGGGGGATTGGAGGAAACAGGGATGGGGAGGGGTGGAGGAAAGAGAGAGGAAGGGCGGAGTGGTTGGGGAGAAGGAGGGTGGAAGTGGATGTGAGAGGGAGGAGGGGAGGAGCAACAGCAACAGCAGCAGCAGCAGCAGCAGGGGCAGCTATATCTGTGGAGAGGAGAGCAAGGGAGGAGGGGACGCAGTGACTACGCGGCTGACGTGCAAGGTACGGGCAGTGCAGTGGTGGTGGTGTGAGATGGCGCTTGGAAAAGGTGTAACAAGCCGTTGCTCATGTATTTTATTACCATGCCACATGCTGGACGTCATGCCGTGCTAAGCTCTTGCTACCATTCCCCACACATGACGTCATCTCATCTCTCCTCAACTCTGTTCACGTGTGTGCGTGCATGTGCCTGCATTGCTTCCTTTGTGTGCATATGTGTGAGTACCCTATGCACCCTATGCATATGCTTGTGTGCATGTGTTTGTGCACCTCACGCCACACACCAGGTGAAGGACTCTGCCTCTCACACGGACCCCAGCAGCAACAAAGACATGCAGCAGCAGCAGCCATGCACCCCTAAGCCCCACCACCAGCACACCGCCTCCGTCTCCCCCCCTTCCCCCCTGCTCCCCCCCTGGTGCTACTCCCCCCGCAAGGCCTCCCCCTCCCGCCCCTCCTCCCTCCCCTCCACCCCTCGAGCCCCCCCTCTCCTCCTCTCACCTTCAGCTCTTGCTGGATCTCCTTTCAGTGTTACACAAGGGGCAGGTAAAGGGGCAGGTAAGGGGACAGGGGAAGAAGCAGGTACAGGAATAGCAGCAGAAGCAGCTGCTGCTGCGATGGCACGTACAATGATGACCCCTGCAGCTGTCGCCCTAGACCGTGTAGCTTCTATTGCTGTGGCATCTTTAGGCACAGTGGAAATGCCACGCAGATACGCCTCCCCCAGTAGGAACCCCTCTCCGTCCAGAAGTGCTGCTGGTGGTGGTGGGGGGGGGAGGGAAGGTGGGTCTGCAGGGGTGACACGGGGTCTAGTGCGGTCCTTATCCAACGTATCTGTCAGCTCTGTCGGCTCCAAGCCTATTGTTCCGGACCCGGCTCAAGTGGCAGCAGTGGCTGCCATCGCAGTGGCTAAGGCCCAGGCCGCTTCAGCAGCAGCAGCAGCGGCAGCTAAAGCACAATCCTCTGTCCCTGCCCCTCCCTCCCCCTCTTCCTATTCCTACACCTATTCCTCTGGTGCGGCCTCTCCCTCACCATCTCGCCTGCCCATCCGTCCCTCTCCTCCCTCCTCCCCCCGCTCTCTGCTCTGCCCTCCCTCTCTGCCCTCCACCCTTCGACTCGACAGCCTCTCTCCCTCAACCGCCACCGCCACTACTGCTGCTGCTGGTGAGAGGGTCCCCCTCACCACATCTCCCACAGCTCCCGCTGCTGCAAGTGTACAGACCAATGGGGCTGCTGGTGCTTCTGCTGCTGCTGGTTCTGCTGCTGGACTTAATGTCAGTGCCACCGGTGGTGGCAGTGGGCTTTCTATGGGGGCGGAGACCCCCGTTCCTGCATCGTCCCCTGTAACTGCCTATCTCATGAGGAAACTGAGAGCGTCGGCGGCGGCTGCTGCTGCTGCTGCTGCTGCTGCTGGTGCTGCCACGGCTGCTGGTGATGCTGGTACCGCTGGTGGTGCTGGTGGTGCTGGTGGTGCAGCAGGGGGGATTAAGCCAGGTGGCGATGCAGGGAAGCAAGGCACTGCGGTCAAGGAATCGTCTCCGGTGCACCAAGTGCAGAAACAGCAGCCGCAGCAGCCGCAGCAGTCAGTGAAGCAAGGGGGGGGGCAGCAGCAGGAAGCACGGGTTGAGAAGAAGACAAGCGCGCAGAGGGTGGGTGAGCAGAAGCAGAAGCAGCAGGAGGGGAGGAAGCAGCAGGGGAGGCAGCAGCCCAAGCCCCTGCATCAGTGGAACGCCAACGGCAGTGAGTGGAAAGCAGCAGCAGGAGGGCTGGCCGGTGTGAGTCTCGTGAAGAGCAGCAGTGTGGGGAGCTTTAGTGTTGGTGGCAGCGGTGGTGGTGGCGGTGGTCAGGGTGGGATTCATAATACTGTGTGCAGCGTGGGAGGGGCAGGAGCAGCAGGAGCAGGAGGGGCGGGAGGAGTGGGAGGAGCGGGAGGACAGCACCCCAAAAACCACCATCATCATCATAAGCAGCAGCATCGTCGTCGTGGCAGCAGCAGCAGCGGTGGCAGCAGCGGTGGGGGTCATGAGGTACGGACAGCATCGTCGCAGAACGTGCCCTCGTCGCCCCCATCACCCTCCTCCTCCACCTCCTCCACCTCCTCTTCCTGTGCCTCGAGCCACGCCCCTCACTGCAGCATCACCCGCAGTGCTGCTGCTGTCAGTGCGCATGCTGCTGGCAGATCCCATGTTAGCACTACTCACAGCAGCACTCACATCAACACTCACAGCAGCACTCACAACAGTAGCAGCAGTCACAGCAGCAGCAGCAGTGGGATGGTGCGCAGCAGCAGTGTGAGATCGCCCAAGTTCAATTCTCTCCCCACGCTGATAGAGGCGGACAGCTTCAAGGAAGGAATCAACGGCCCTGATGCCCCGGACGCATCTTGCACTGGCAAGATGACGTCACGCGGGAGGGAGGGAGGCAAGTCATCTCAGACGGTGGGTGAGGAGAGCAGTGGGGGCAAGGCTGGGCGGAAGGGCAGTGGGAAGAGCAGGCGTGTACGGAGCAAGCAGGAGCCTAAAGGAGGGAGCGGTGGTAGTGTTGGAAAGGGCGCCCTGGTGATGCTCCCCTTCACACCAACCACTGCTGCCCCTGCCCCTGCCCCTGCCCCTGCACCTCTCACTACTGAGGCGGCTACCCTTTCAGCAGGACTGTCGTCACCAGCAGCAGTACAGGCAGCTGGAAAAGCTCCTGCAGCAGGCACGAAGAAGGTGAAGGTTCCTGGGCTGAGCAGCAGCGTGCATGCTGGGAAGAAGGCTGCACAAGCTGCTGCTGCTGCTGCTGCTGCTTCTGGTGCAGGCAGCAGCAGCTCTCAGGTGGGCGTGGCTCAGGTGGCACCTTCAACAGTGCTGGTGCTGATGACTGGGGAAGAAGCAACCGCTGATATTGGTGCTGCTGAATGTCCTCTTGTTGATCAGGGCGAGGAGATGGAGATGGAAGAGCCTCACTATAAGGATGATCAGCAGGAGCAGCAGCAGCAGCAGCAGGAGGAGGAGGAGGAGATGGTGATGGTGGAAGAGGAAAGGCTGGAAGTGCAGCAGCACCAGGCGCAGGAGCAGGCACAGGAGCAGCAGGCGCAGCAGCAGGGGTGGAGGCAGAGGAAGGAGCAGAGGAGGCACAGCAGCAGGTCGCGGGGCCTGTCTCCCATGCGAGGCAGCTCCGTGGCGTCCATGGTCGGGGGCGCCATGGCCTTCCTTGTGCGATCTGCCAGCAGCTCCTCCTCACGTGCACATGCACATGCACCTGCACACAGCCATGCACATGTGAATGCTCCCAGTGGAGGAGGTGCGGACATAACGACTCGTAGCGGTCAGCCTAGCATGGGAGCATATGCTCCTGGTGCTCCTTCTCCCAAGGCAAATGCTGCCTCTGCTGCTTCTGCCGCTGCCGCAGCTACAGATGCTGCTTTTGCCAGCCCTGCTTCACCTGCTGTCTCCTCTGCTGCTCCCGCACCAACGCACCAAGCCGCAGCTCTGCAGCCGCGCTACACTATCTCAGAGCCCATCAAGGGAGGGGTGGGGGCAGTGTGCGCTGGGGGGCCTGAGGGAGAGGAGGATGAGAGTGATGCTGAAACAGAGGCAGTTAGCCGTATGATGGTGCCTCGTCAGGCGATGGGCTTAGCAGCAGCACCTCACACTGCTCACACTGCTCACACTGCTTACCCTGGAGCTAGGACCCTCAGCCCACGCACTCAGCCACCCGCCTACCTGCGCTCTCCCGCTCATATGGACTCCCTTATTGTCGACCTGCCTCCCGTTGTTGTCACAGACATTACAGCCACACATGGTGTGCTGCCCCCCCCCTCCCCTCACGCCCCCACTGGCAGCTTTGGAGGTAAGAAAGCTGATTTTGGCGGGTCTAGGGTTTCTCCTATTACAGTGCCTGGGAAGATGTTCAAGACGGTGCCATCCACGCCGGAGAGTGGCCGGAAGCAGCGCCTGTCTGCACTGCGCAAGATGTTCGGATTTTAGAAGTGGCGGCGATACTTGTAGTTGTGATGTTAGTTCCTAGAGGGGTTGCTCTAGGAATATGGGTTAAACTGAGCTATTATCTGGGTGGTGGTGATGCTTTATACAATAAATGTGCTACATTGAGTGGTGAAATTTTGTTTCCTCCAATGGTGTTTGGCAAGTATAAAGTTTGTTTTTGTGACGAATCGTGAGGCCGTATTGCCGCGGATCCCTTGGGATTTGCTCCTTATTTTCGGTTGTAGTCATCCCGATTCCCGTCACGACGCTCGAAACGAATACCACATAAAAGCAGAACCCCCTTTGATCTCGAATTCCCGAACAACACCTGTAGTCGCTAGCAGCTATCAGAGCCAGTGAGTCCATAGCAGCCGTGAATAACGGCTAGCAGTCAGTGAACGAGGCAGTGGAGCATCCGAGAGTCAGTGAACAACTACGAGCAGTCAGTGAATAACGACTAGCAGTCGGTGAATAACGGCTAGCAGTCAGTGAACGAGGCAGTGGAGCAGCCGAGAGTCGGTGATTGACTACGAGCTGTCAGTGAATAACGACTAGCAGTCAGTGCATAACGGCTAGCAGTCAGTGATTAACGGCTAACAGTCAGTGAACGGGGCAGCGGAGCAGCCGAGAGGGCTAGCATGGAGGAGCCGAGTTTAGACGAGCTGGAGTGGATGGCCATGGAGGCCGATCAGGGCGGCCAGGAGGACGACTGGCCGTTCGAGGAGCCGCCGGACGACGACGACGGGGGGGGACACGCGGCCGGCGCACGCGGTGAGGGGGGTGGGGGAGAAGGGGGAGGGGACGGGGTGGGGGAGGGGGAAGACGAGGGACGAGGGGAGGTGCGGGGATGTGTCAGAAAGTTGCGGGGAAAGGGGAGTGGATGTGTGTGTGACCACAGATGGATCTACGAGTTGATTTTCATTCCGAAGCGAGGGAGTCGGGCAACACATGGCCTGCCATGGTTCCGCCTTGCTTTCTTGATTAGCATAGTTGGCATCGTTTATGCCATGGTTTGCCACGGCTTGGATGGTTTGTCTGTCATGGATTGGCATAGCATGAGTGCGGTAAACCGTATATGCAGGACCCACACTTGTTCTCCCTCGCCTCTTTGCGCCATATATCTTGCCATCTTGTGCTCTCTCCTCACCCATCTTCTCCCCCCCGCTCCCCCGCGCTCCCGTTGCGTTTCCAGGCGCAGCAGCAGTCCCCCCACCACACGCATTTCCCCCCCAAACCGTCTCTGGCGCGCATGGATTGGCGGGAGGGGAAAGGAGCGGGGAGCAGGGGTGGGACTCGGGGGAGAGAATAGTGGAGAGGGGCAAGGAGGGTGCATGGACCGGGACTGGGGTTGGGGTTGGGGTTAGGGATAGGGATGCAACTAAGGCGTCAGAGGCAGTAGGGGTGGCAGTAGGAGGAGGTGCAGTGGGGGGAGAGGCAGGAAGGCGAGAGAAGCGGGGTGGAGGAGGAAGAGGGGAAGGGGAGGGAGGAGGGGCAGGAGGAAGTGGAGATGGAGGAAAAGGAGGTGCTGGTGCCATGAATGGGAATGCGGGCGTTCCTTGGAGAGCAACGTCAGCAGCAGCAGCAGCAACAAAATCAGCAGCAGCAAAACCAGCAGCAGCATCCTCAGCAGCAGCAGCGGCGGCAGCAGCGGCGGCAGCAGCGGCGGCGGCGGCAGCAGCAGCGGATGATGCGAAGGCAGCACGGCGTGTGGCAGCAGAGGTGGAGGGCGAGGTGATGCCCGTGACAGGCAGCGATGGGCAGCGCGTGTACTGCCGGGTGAGAGACATTAGAAGAGATAGAGCAGACACAGCAGGCAGAGACAGGAGACGGACGGAGCAGCAGGAGAGGGAAGAGCGAGAGCGGGAGAGCAGGATGGGCGGGGCGTGGGCGAGCAGGAGCGGGAGCGGGGCAGCAGCAGCAGGTGGAGGGCGGGTGCTGTCAATGAGTATAGAGGAACTTATGGAGAGAGCCGAGCAGGAGCAGGTGCAACGCGCCTTCCGCCTCTCCCACCTCATGGCATCCTCATCCTCCCCCTCCTCTGTCCTCTCCTCTGCCGCCCCCTCGCTCTCCGAGGCAACACCATCACCAGCACAACCATTGTTCGCACAAGCAGCAGCACCTTCTGTCTCTGCTTCTGCTTCTCCTTCTGCTTCTGCGTCTCTCTGGGTGGACAAGTACTCGCCTCGCTCCTTCACGGACCTACTCAGTCCCGAGCCCATAAACCGTGCCGTGCTCTCCTGGCTCAAGCAGTGGGACCGCTGTGTCTTTGGCGCTGCCGCGGCCTCTTCCCGCGCCCGCACCCACCCGGATACCCTTGCTGCCCTGCGCCGCCTCCCCCCGCCCTCGGGAGCAGCGGCCGGGGGGGTGGGTGGGGGAGGGGGGATGGGGGGAGGGTTTTTTGGGGGACGCGGGGGAAGGAGGGGGGGAGGGTATGGGAGAGGTGCAGGGGGAGGGTGGGGGGGAGGGGGAGGGGGGAGTGGAGGTTGGGGAGGGCGAGGGGGTGGGGGTGGGGGTGGGGGTAGGTTTGTGGAGAGAGGGGGTGGTGGAGGGGAGGGTGGAGGAAGATGGGGAGGGAAGGGTGGTGCAGGAGGGGGAGGAGGGCGCAGTGGAATGGGGGATGGCATGAGGGGAGGAATGGGGGATGGCATGGGGGGAGGAATGGGGGATGGCATGGGGGGAGGAATGGGGGCCAGAATGGGGGGTGGCAGGGGGTGGGGAAGCAAGGAGGGCAGGGGTGCTGGTGTGGCTAATGGTATGGGTGGAGGAGGCATGGGAGGGGAGAGCCAGCTGGGGAAGAGAGCGCGAGGCGAGACAGCAGGAGATAGACCAGAAGTCAGGGTGAGTGGATGCTGGAGGAATTTTGAGTCGACTCAAAATAGAGATAGTCCAGAAGCTAGGGTGAGTGGATGCTGGGGGGGTTTTGAGTCGACTCAAAATACAGATGGACCAGAAGCTAGGGTGAGTGGATGCTGGGGGAATCGTTTGGGAATTATTCAGGGTTAGGGGGTAAGAAGGGGTCTAAACACTGCGGGGAGGAATAGTCGTGCTGGTGAGAGGTTGAATTTGGAAGGCGCGGTTGAGTGAACCCTTTTCTTGGAATGTCGCAGCAGTAGGAACATTGGTGCAAGAGGGACGCGTTCAACTAGCCTTATGATAGTCCTGCTCCTCCTCCTGCTTCCAAGCTTTTCTTTCTCCCTCACCTCCGCACCTCCTCACCCCCTCCGGCTGCATCACCTTGTATTGTATCCTATGTTTGTACAGATCTTGCTGCTGTGCGGCGCTCCAGGGCTGGGAAAGACCACGTTGGCGCACGTGGCGGCGCGGCACTGTGGGTACCGTGTGGTGGAGGTGAACGCGAGTGACGACCGCGTGGCCTCGTCCCTGCGGCAGCGCATCGTGGACGCCATCCAGATGCGCTCCGTGCTCGCATCCTCCTCTGCCTCCAACTCCGGCCCTAGCGGCTCTGGCAGTGGCCCGGCCGCTGACTCCCGGCCTAATTGTCTGGTTCGTGTGCTTCATCATGCAGCTGAGGGATTCAAGGGTTTGCTTATTAGATTCCTGGACTTCTGGACTACGGAGCGATCCAGTGTGATGCGAAATGAGAGTGGCCTACCACTTGCTTGTGCTGACTTACCCTGTGTGTGTGTGTGTCCCATTTTTTCTAACCAGCTTCTTTAGCTGACAAAGAAAGTGAACCACCAGCTCCATGCCAGCCAGCCTGAAGCTTCCCTCTCGTTATTGTGTCTGCCCTGCCCTATCCTGCCCTGTCCTATCTGCGCCTCCAGGTGATTGATGAGATCGACGGGGCGTTTGCAGGATCTGAAGGGAGGGGCGCTGTGGATGCACTTGTGGAGCTGGTGAGTCGTGCTGCCACCTCTTCTCTCTCCCTCTCGCTTTTGCCGTGCCCTCCCACTACTCTCGTTGTAGGTGCACCTTGAGATTAAACCAAAAAAAAAAACCACACACACACCCACAACAGGGAGTGCCTTTGCAGGATCTGAAGGGAGGGGCGCTGTGGATGCACTTGTGGAGCTGGTGAGTCATGCTGCCGCCTCTGCTCTCCCTCCCTCTCCGCTTCGCCTGGCTCCCACTGCTCTTGCTCTCTCGCTCTCTCGTTCTCTCGCTTCCTCTCTTCCTCGCCCCGATCCCTGGCCCTGTCCTCCCTTCACTCTTTTTTCGTACCGGCGCATCCATCTACAGATGGCAGGCTGATTGGTTCAAACAATGAGGCATGCATTAGGCTACGCAGACAAGGGAAGAATAGCACGTACAACAAGCTGAATTGCTTAATGTAGAAAGAGTGCATATCGCACGCATGCACGCACATGGTGCCACTATTCCCGGCGTTCCTCCTCCCAGTTCCAAGCGGGCATCATAGCTGCAGCCTCTGCAGCAGCAGCAGCGGTAGCGTCAGCAGTCCCGTCCATAAGCAGCAGGGCAGCGACAATGACGATGAGGCAGACGAGGAGGGTCAGACAGTGAAGATGCAGGGGGCAGGGTTGGTCTGAGACGTCTCAAAACACAATTATTATTCCACAATGCCCGCCCCCTTCTCGCCCTCCCAGGTCCAAGCGGACATCAAAGCCGCAGCCTCCGCAGCGGCGGCAGCAGCGTCAGCAGTCCCTTCCATTGGCAGCAGGGGCAGCGACGACGAGGACGAGGAGGGGGGATCGGATGGGGAAGATGGGGGGGGCGGGGGCGGACAGGGTAGGGCGCGGGGAGGCAAGTTCAGGAGGGTGAGCAAGGAGGGCGTGCCAAGAGCCAGCGGGCCCAAGAAGATCCGGAGAAGACGGGCAGGGGGGAAGGGGTCTGCAGTGGTGCAGCTGAGGCGACTCAACAGACCGGTCAGTTGCTTGCTGTGGCCCCCATTGGGAGAGAAGACTGGGGGGACTGGGGGAAGGAAGAGGAAAGGGGGGAAGAGAAGGGAGGGGGGGAAGAAAGAGGAAAGGGGGGGGCAACCGTGTCCCTGGCTCTGGAGGTGGTGTGCTTGTCTCCATGTCTGCGCCCGTGAGGAGTCTATTTTTGAGGCGCCTCAAAAATAGACTCCTCACCCATGTCTGGGCCCGTGCCCTCCAAGGTGACTTTTGAGTCGACTCAAAAGTCACCTCGTTACAATGTCACACGACACTTTCGCCCGTGAGGAGTCTATTTTTGAGGCGCCTCAAAAATAGACTCCCTCCAAATCCGTAAATCTACTCTCCTTTCTTGCATCCCTTTCCCCTTTTCCTTGTACATGGTGCGCTCTTTTCCTTCCTGAACCCTGTATTCCCCCTGTATTCCCCCTGTAATCCCCCTGTACTCCTCCTGTATTCCCCTCCGTTTCCTTTGCTCCCCCCCCCTCCCCCTCCCCCCTCCCCCCACCCCCTCCCCCCTCCCCCCTCCCTCCACTCCACGCACCACCTGCGCAGATTGTCTGCATCGCCAATGACCTCTTTGCGATGCACCCATGCATTAGGCGCCACTTCTAATTGCTCTGTTATCCTCCCTCCACTCCACTCCACACACCACCTGCGCAGATCATCTGCATCGCCAACGACCTCTATGCACCTGCTCTCAGACCCCTGCGATCCGTGGCAGAGTATGTGTGCTGGCGGGGGGTGGCTTGGGTGGGGGTAGGGGGGAAGGGGGGGAGGAAGAGGAGGGGAGACCCCTGCGATCCGTGGCAGAGTATGTGGGTGGGGATGGGGGGGGGAGAGAGAGGGGAGAGGAAGAGGAGGGGAGAGAGGAGTGTAAGGGTAAGGAGCGAGGGGAAGAGTAGAGAGATGGGGTGGAGGGGAGGGGAGCAGGAGAGGGAAGGGTTCGTGCAATGCATCTCGTCCACTAACGCCCATTCCCGTTTTGTCTAACGCCCATCTACCTATCACCGTGCCTCTCTTGCTTGATTTTGTGTGCATGTGCATGGATGTCTGTGGGTGTGTTTGCATGTTTGTGGGGGGGGGAGTGGGGAGGGTGTGGGGGGGTGGGGGGGGGGGAGCTGGGGGGGATTGGGAGGTGCGGGCATGTTGGTGGGGAGGGTGGTGCGAATGCTATGCGTGCGCAGGGTGCATGTGTTTCAGCCACCAACCACCAACCGAGTTGTCTCAAGGTAACCCCAGCCCCCTAACCCCCCTCACCACCACCCGCATCCCTCCACTCCACTCCACTCCACTCCACTCCACTCCACTCCACTCCACGCCACTCCACACTACGCCACCATTCCCCCACTTTCAAGCTCCCCAGATTCATCTTTCTCAGTCTGAAATTCCCTTTGTCCTTCCGGGCTGTGCTGCCTCGAAAGGAATCGCCCCAGTCATTCACACTTCATCCATCCCCTGAGTGATCCGTCTCCTTACTCCACTCGTTGCTCCCTTAGTCGCTACGACCCCCATTCCTCCTGCCCCGTGGGTCCCTCCCCGTGCCTCCCTCCCTGTGGCTGTCCCGGCATCCCCCACCAACCTGTGCCATACAGGCTGCGGCACATCTGTGAGGCGGAGGGGTTTGAGGCCGATGTGAGGGGGCTCACAGCCCTGGCTGCCCAGACAGGTGCGCGGGGAAAAAAAGAGAGCTGGTGGCGTGATTGAGCTGAGACACCTATTTTTGAGGCGCCTCAAAAAGAGAGCTGGTGGCGTGATTGATTTGAGCTGAGACACCTATTTTTGAGGCGCCTCAAAACACGCGAATTATAACACGAGAGAGAGAGAGAGGGTGGCGGGCGCAGGAAGGATGGGAGAGTGGGGGGGAGGAAAGGGGCGGCTTGGGGATGGGTGGGTTGGGTGGGAAGTTGGTCAGACACACAGGGAGTGAGATACGTGTGTACTGGAAGGGTAAAACCAGTGCGTGTTCTGGATTCCCTCTCTAGTTTGCCCTTGTCTCTCCTTGCCCCCTCCCATTCTTTTCCTCTAGTCCCACCATCCCCCCTCGTTTCCTTGCGTACTCTCATTTCCCTCAACTCCCCCCACCCCCTCTCATCGCCTCATTTCCTGTCACGGTGCATCAAGCCGTGGCTCCAGACCAGTTCAGAACAGTTCTCGACACCCTGCATGCACTCCATTCTGCAGGCGACTCTTTAGGCTCTTCGAAAATCGGTACATCAGGCCTTGTCTTGATCGCCACCCTGCACTCTCTTTTTGAGGCACCTTTTGAGGCACCTCAAAAATACATTACCCTTTCCCCACCCTTTCCCCACCCTTTCCCCCAATCCCCGAACCAGACAGGGACATCAGGGCGTGTCTCAACACCCTGCAGCTCCTTTCAGAGGTGCCTCATAGAGAGATGCCCCTTCTCACCCTCTTTCCTCCCCCCCCCCTCCCCACCGAACCAGACGGGGACATCAGGGCGTGTCTCAACACCCTGCAGTTCCTGCACCGAGCCAACAGGACTCTGCGAGCGGTACTCACTCTGCTGCCCCCCCACTCACTCCCTTGCTGCCCCCCCACTCACTGCCTTGCACTCCTTTACTGTCAGAGCCCTCCTCTACCCCGGGCCTGCTTGCTCTGCTCCCACGCACGCTTCTTACACTCCCGCTGGACTTGCCACACACACACTCGCCCGTGCCATCCTACTCTCCCTCACTCTCCCTCTCTCTTTCCCCGTCGTTCTCTCACTAACCCACCACTCGTCTCTCCCTCGTTCCACTTCTGTTCCCACACTCCCTCCCCCTCACCCCCCTGCGCGGCGCCAGTCGGAGTTAGCGGCGCAGACAGTGGGGCGGCCCCTCTCACCCCTTCCCCCCCCCACCTTCACCCTCTCCTTCCGGTCTGCCCCCTGCCCTCTCCCAGCACCAGTCGGAGGTGGCGGTGCAGATAGTGGGGCGGCCCCTCTCATCCCTCCCCTCCCCCCCCCTTCCTCCTCACACCCTCCTTCTGTTCTACCCCCTGTCCTCTCCCGGCGCCAGTCGGAGTTAGCGGCGCAAATAGTGGGGCGGACCCTCTCATCCCTCCCCTCCCCCCCCCCCCCCTTCACACTCTCCTTCTGTTCTACCCCCTGTCCTCTCCCGGCGCCAGTCGGAGTTAGCGGCGCAAATAGTGGGGTGGCCCCTCTCATCCCGCCCCTCCCCCCCCCCCCTTCACACTCTCCTTCCGGTCTGCCCCCTGTCCTCTCCCGGCGCCAGTCGGAGGTGGCGGCGCAGATAGTGGGGCGGAAGGATGCAACCAAGGGGCTCATGGACGTGTGGAACGAGGTGGGTGGATGCATGTGCGAATGGGTGTGTGCTAATGTGGGAGTGGATGTGTTTTGTCGTCGTGGGGGGCTGGTTTTGTTATGGTGTGCAGTTGCAGTGTGGCGGTGTGTGTGTGGGTGCACGCGCACGCAATGATGACTACAGGAACCCTCACTCACCTCCTTTCGCATTTCTCCACCCACTCTATTCTCCTTGATCCACAACCCCCAACCCATCCCTTCCACTCCACCACCGCTCTTCACAGGTATTCTTCCCACTACCTTGGCTTTTGAGTCCACTAAAAAAACGACCCATTCCTTCCCTTCCCCCATCCCCCTTCCCCCATCCCCCTTCCACAGGTTTTCTTCCCTACTGCACTCCGCTCTCTTCCCAAGCCTCTCCCCTCTCCGTCACCATCCGCACCCCCATCAGCAGCAGCAGCAGCAGCATTAGCATCCGCATCACCATCCCAGCCTGCCACCCACTATTCTCGCTTTGACGCACTCGTCTCTCAACTGTGAGTCTGCCACCTGTGAGTCGTCAGTCGTCCCAGCTCCTCTTTCTCTGCTGATTGTTGCCCTTTCTTATCCCTGTTGTTTTTTCATTTCCTGTGTCCGTTTTTAGCCTTTTTTCTCCCTCCCAACTCCCCCTCCGTGTTCTCATTCCCCCTCGTTCTCATTGCAAACCGCAGCGGCGGCACGTCAGACACGCTATTGGACGGCATTCACGACAACCTACTACATGCTGCGCTCTCCGATGTCTCTCTGCGCAAGACTGTGAGACCAATCCCAGGCCCCCTTTCACACACACACACACACACACACACACACACAGATGGTCAGGGCTCCAAGGGCCATGGCTCCACAGCAGTCTTTTTAGCAACACCACTCCCTAATCCTAATCTGTCTTTCCTACCCGATACTCCTTGCAGTCCTCGTCGCTGCACTGGCTGGTGTGTGCGGACCTGTGGCACCACAGGGCCATGGGCGCTCAGCAGTTCGCTCTGCTGGGTATGGGCGTGTGAGAGGATACTGTGCAGTGATGATGTGGGGGATTGGGGGGGGCGGAGGGGGGAGGGGGAGTGGGGGGGGGGGGGGAGACTGCCATGAGCTTGCCTTGCCTTGTGTTGCGTTGTTGTTTCTTCGTGGAACCTTGGCTCTTGTAGATATTCTTCTTGCTGCATACATCACCACATTCACCAGGTCCCACATGCCCTATCAACTAAGGGAAATCTATGCGTCATGCGTGATGTGACAGGGGCACATATGCCGTGGATGGTTGTAACCATGTGATATACCATGTATTACCGTCCCGTTTTTGTCCCCTTGCGTCCCCCTGCATGCTCCCATCCCATGTGTGCGTGTGCAGCGTTTGAGACGTGTGCCATGTATGCCGTCCGTGCCACAATGGGTGCCGCCGACAGGCACCCCCTTGAATGGCCCAAGGCCCACGCCAGGTGCGTTTAGTGTTTAGCTCGGCGCGCAAGGCCCACTCTAGGTCACAGACCACCACCCATCCTTGCAACACCTCGAGCCGTGTTTTGAGTCGACTCAAAACACACCCACTCCAGGTCACAGACCACAAAACATCCTTGAGTTGAAACACCTCCAGCCTCCAGCAACCTCTCCTGCTCCTTCTGCCCGTCCCTCCTCCACCGCTTCGCTCCACATCCACGCACAAAAACTTCCTCCATGCACACTCCCCGCTCATCCCCCCCCTTATCCCCTTCATCTCCCCCCTCATCCCCCCCTTCATCCCTCTCGGCCCCCCCCTCATCCCCCCCCTCATCTCCCCCCTCTCAGGTATCGGTCGGAGCATGCGGTGCGGCGGGAGACAGTGGAGGCGTGGCGGGGAGCCATGCTGCCAGCTGTGGCGCGCACGGCCCCCTCGCACTCCCTCGTGCCCGACCTCGTTTCGCCGCTGCTCGCTGTCATCTCCACCCCACCCATCCGCCCTGTGAGCCCCACCCATCCGCCCTGTGAGCTTGCCCCTGTGTATGATGCTAGTTGGTTCCTGCAAATTCTCAGAAACCTGCCCATGCGCCCTGTGAGCCCCGCCCATTCGCCCTGTGAGCTCGGCCCTGTGTGCTTTTTGGCTTGTGGGCGAGGGTCCTGGGTGAGGGGGGCAACGGGTGATGATGGGTCATCAGTGAGTGCGTTCAGTGCTTTCAGTGCGTTCAGTGCGTTCCGTGCTTTCAGTGCTTTCAGTGCTCTGGAAGCGGCGATCATGCAGCGCAGCATTAGTGCCCTTGTTGACCATGGCACCAGCTGCTAATCATAAGCTACTCGAAGCTCGCTCCGTCGCTACTCGCTGCCACCATGCCAGACCACGATCTCTCCTTCCGCAACCACGCCTTATGCTCCTTCTCCCCTTTCCCCCACCACTCCCCCTCCCCCCCCCTCCCAACTCCCCTTTCCCCCCTTCCCCGCCAGGTGGCGGGCCAGCTGATGACTCCTTGGGAGAAGCTCGCTCTCTCTCTTCTCGTATCCACCATGCTGGACTACGGCCTCTCCTACCGCCGTGCGCACCAGCTCACCTGGCACCGCCACAGGCCCCCTCCTGGGGCTGCTGGGGCTGCTGGTGGTGGTGGAGGGGAGGGAGGGTTTGGCGCTGTTGATGCGTACATGGGAGGGCCTGTGCTGGATCCTCCGCTCATGGATCTGGTTGTGTTCACGGTGTGTGGTTGTTGCTCGCATTTTCTCCTGATGTGATTCACCATGTTTCACAACTGCCTGCCAGGCCCCTCCCACACACATGTGAGTGAAGGCAACGACCATACGTGCATCCTCCGCTCATGGATCTGGTTGTGTTCATGGGGTGTTGTTGCGCTCGCATTTGCCCCGAATTGGTTGCTTCGCTTATTGTTGTTGCCTTATTAAGTCACTGTGTGTGGGAGGGGCGTGGCAGGCAGTTGTGAGACTCGGCGAATCAGCTTTGCATGCTGGTGCTTGCATTGGAGCATGGCTGACTTCTCTCTTTCTAGTTGTCTGCCATCCTCTCTGTTGTCCCATACGTCAATCTCTCTAAGGTTAAGGATTAGAATCTTTGTGTCCAACAGCTGATTCCCTCTCAGGCATACTCATAGAGATGTTTGTGTGCATGTGTGCATATGTGCATGTGCGTCATTTGCGTGTGTATGTGTTTAATCTGTGTGCGTGTTCGTGTGTGTGCCTGGTGTGTGTGTACCGGACCCGCATTGCTGCATCTCTCCATCCCTGCTCCAGGGATCTCGAACTCCGCCCTACGTCATGGCAATATCTGCCGCAGTGCGCCAGCTCATAGGCCGAGAGGTACCACAAATGGCCAGCAGGAGGGCTAGCTGGATCTGTGGCTGGTCCAACGTCCCAGTTCCTGTCTATCCTTCATCTTTTTATCGCCTTCACTCTCATCACCCTTTCCCTGGCTGTTCTGCTGCTCTGGAAACAGCAAGAGCTGTTCAACCCTCGCTCATTTTCCCCTTCCATACCATCCTTTTGCACTGTCTCTTGTCAGATTGAGCTGGAGCGCATCCGGCGAGACTCTGTGCGAGTGAAACTGTCATCCACCCCCAATGCCGCTGCAGCCCCTAAACCCCCTCCAACTCTTCCTCCTCCTCCACCTACTCCTACTCCTATTCCTCCTGCTTTTTCGTCTCATCAGCAGCCACAAGCAGCTGCTCCCGTGCCAGCTGCCAATGTTATCCCACAGAGCAGCGAGGGAAAGGGTATGTTTCTCCACTGCCTACAACACCCTCCATTTACAAATCTTTACACCTTTCCTTATCAATGCCCAACCACTTTCACTGAGCCTTGCTTCCTGCCTACCCCAATCATCTTCAGGTACCCAGGCTGGTGATGATAAGCCAGAGGCGAATGGGAAAACTATAGCAGCTGAGGCTGTGAAGTCGCAAAATGCTCCAGGCACTGCTAAGATAGGGAGTGACGCCAAGCAGCCCAAAGTAAAAGAGCAGATGCGGCGACCCTTTAGGGGGTTCACCAGGTACAGTTGCAGAGACGAGTGATGTCTGCCATGTGTTTCAGCTGATGCTTATGGAGCAGATTCACTGTTGCCTCGTACCTCGAAGGTTCTAGTGAGCAAATGCTGTGCGGATAAGTATGTATGGTGTGTCTTTCCTATGTCCATGCTCTTCCAGAAAAGTGGAACAAGATGGTGGGTGTGGGTCTAAGGCTGCACGTCAACAGGGTGAAGATGGGGGACCTGCCGCAACTGGTGCCGGCGAGAAGACAGTCAGCGGCAACAATACTGTTCGCATATCATTCAAGTATCACGAGGTGAGGAAACAACAGTTAGAATGCTTATGTTCCAGATCGAAGCTGCCATCTAATCCATTTATGGTATTTTTCCTTGCAGGGATTTACCAACGCTGTCCGACGACCAGTCCTCTTTTCTGAACTCTTGTAGTTTCAAGGTCGCAATGTCGCCATTTTCAGTGGTACCAGATGGTACAGTATTAAATGTAACTAAAAGCAAATCAGCATCGCAAACCATAGGGAACATCTCGTTCTTGGTTTACCAAGCACATGCCAAATCTTGGCCATGTTCAGAGATCAGTGCTCTCTTCAGGTTCCATGTCATCTGTTGCCCATGCCAATTCTTGCTGGGCCACCTCCTTCTCGAATATATCTTCAATGTGGTCCTCAAGCGCATCTCTAATTTCATCGAAGTTTTCCATAAAGCCCTGAAGCATGTTGAGGCGAGCCGACGGCAACCCGGAAATGTCATCACAGGTCAAGTACTTGAACAGGAGCTCCTGCTATGAGAATTTCATCAAAACGTTGTAATGCTGTGCAGTGAGAAGCCTCCTGCATGTGTATGTACCGAAGATGGAGGTGGTGGCTCTATACTCACCTTGGCTGCCACACTCAGTTCCGAGGAGGGCTCGTTGTCGCACAAGCCACAGCGAAGCACTGTCTCCCATTCTTTTGGAGTGATGCTGGCAATAAGCAGCTCCATTGGAGCATCACGCAAGCTGCTAAACGCGGCAAGCCTGACCTTCTTGTCAACATCTCTTGTCTTGATGGCGATTGATGTGAGCAATTCTGAAAGAGCGCTTAGGTAGATGAGATCACAGGAAGGTGCATATGTTGAAGAGGTGCACGAGGAAATGAATGTACCTTGATCGACGTTTGGCGACGCTGCCAGGATCTGAACAGCCGCGCGACGAACCCTTGTGCTAGGATCAAATAGCATCGCATGCGTCAGGTGAGCACGTGCCTCTGCTGTCCACATCAAATTGTTTGCAGCTTCATCTTGATGCCCTAGCCTCTCCAAGCCTGTAACTCAGAAAAGAGGCAGAATCGTAGGTCATGGAGCAGTGCAATGCACAATCAGGCCAAATTCAGAAAGCTCTCACATGACAAGCACTCCAGCCGTAGCTGAATCGTTTCAAGTTGTTCGCTGGCTAACACTGCCGCACAAGATGTGAAAATAACGTGTGGCTGTGCTTCAAAAATCTTCTGAAAGAGCGCTAGGGCGTGTGAGTAGCCTGCGGCACAGGAAGTGATCAGGACAAGGAAACAACAAGTAAATACAGAAGTCGTGAAGATACCTACCATCCTTCCCTTGGTAAGCACCACACTCAATCACTTTCATAAGGGAGAACAGAATCGTGTCGGCAAGGTCAGCATTTGCCAAAAAGAGCAGCACTTGCTTGTGCCTCAAATCTTCTCCATGTGAAATTGAGGACAGAAGTCCCTGAAGTGTTGTCTTCATGCATGCCAGCCATTCAGCCTTGAGATTACCACAGCAAGGTTAGGTGTGGGCGAGATGTATACGTAGATTACTTGTCTCTAGAGTAAGTGCTTACTGCGTCCAGATTGTAGGCCTCTTCCAAAAGCTTCCAGAGTGAAGGAAACCGTTGGCAGGGGTGCACAGAAATGTCAAACAGACTCGCTTGCACCAGCTTCAAAGTCACTTGAAAGCAGCAAAACACAATCTCTGACAATCACAAGAGGAAAACGAAACGTGGCGATAAATATTTATGACCAGGTGATAGACATCTACACCTGGCCCAAGTCACGAAAATGCAAATTGAGGTCATGAGCCTGGACGATACCTGACGGTTCGTGAGCCGCCCACACGCAGTCAAATAAGTGATGCCCCGCATGTTCACCAAACAGTGCCCGTTGAAGCACAGCTAATTCTAAAACCTTGTCATTGCACTCCTTGATAACAGGAATCTCCGACTTTTCAGCAAACTTGTACAGTTCTGCATGGAACCACGGTCAGGCGCTCAGAGGTTACTCCATGGATTTAACAACGTATTGAGGCCAGTCGTACCAAAAAGTAGGTCTTGCACTCTCATCAACCGCAATGCTTGCTGTTCAAAGTTCTCGCCCAATTGAACAAGCCCATTAATCAGGCACTGAAACATCGATGGGAACGGAAGGTCCCACCTGAAAGATTTGATAATCATGGATGGGGACTGATCAATAAGGGCTTTAGCCATACGTACATTGTGGCGAAACTGGCCTCACCTTGCCGTCCGAAGAAGCGTCAGACAGTTCATTATATCCTTGACGTTCCATTTTGGGACCGACTTTCGTTTTTTAAGCTTCCTGGGATGAGCATCACACGGTCAGCATTTCAATGAGTAGACGGACGTGGAAAGCCATCTCAGCATTACCTCTCCGTGAGAAAACACAGGAGTATTGTCTGAATTTTTCCGAATATACTAAGTATAAATTCTCTGGAGACCAGGTGTGGTCTAATCTCTTCCGAATACGTGAGAAGCACTTCAAAAAAGAGGGTGTCGTAGAGCTGAGATGGAAGCCCCTCTTTGATACACTGTTCCAAGTCCTTCAGGATGACTATCTCCAGTTGATTCATTGTGAGCTACAATGGACGATAATGGAGGCGAGGAGTTGATGTCCTACAGAACTGAGGGCATTCAAAAGTCAGCCCTCTGCGATAATGCAGGCAACTAGTCTCGCAAACGCGGTAGTTCGGGAGGAAAGGAAGGATGCAATTCAACCAGGACTTGACAAATATTCCCCTTCAAGGACATACATCCATAAGTGTACGTTGTACAAAGAAGTGCCACATAACATACCTACAAGAACATCTTTACCAAACTCATATCCAAAAGAAACACCCATGTTTGATATGTTTGATATCAAGGAAATTCGTTAAATTCCAGCCCACAAAGAACGTGAGACAAAAAAAAAAGCATACAAACAAACAACAATCTGCCTCTATGCACACCATGTGAATATTCACTCATCGGGCAACGCAACATGGAAAATTGTGATCACAATCTAAATATTGTGATTCGACTAGTCGAGGAGAGTGCTGTAAAGGAGTCATGCTCCTTTACATCGTGGCAGGCCACTCGGACCTGCCACCTAGTCTCATTCTCTTTCCAATCTCTGCTATCTGCATGGCCTCTGCTCTCTTTCCTATGACGACTGCACTGCACACTCCTCGCAAAATCTTGTCACAATCACAACTGTCAACTTACCACTGTACTCGTAGTCTGGCACCCCCTAAGGCACAACCCAACAAACTTCAATTCCCTCGGATGCGGCAGCGCTAAATACTGCCTGTACCACCAGCAGTTGTTGCCGCAGCAGAAGCCATGAGCTGTTTCTCCAAGTAAGCCTCCACCAAGTGGGACCCACAAGCCCGCTGAACCACCGCCATTGTGGCTGGAGAATCCAGCCGCACAAACTCGTCACCACCACTTGCAGCAGCTTGTGTCTGTTGGTCAGCAGCAAACTGGCGTCGTGCGGCGGCAATGGCATAGCGAATGGCAGAGTGGATGGAAACAGCAAGAAGGAGAGGGGGCTCCCCAGATGCTGACAAGGGCCACAGCAGGTGAGAGGAGGAGGGATGGTCGGGAACAGAAAAGGGATGAGGAGAACATAGGCAGCATGCACACTACATGGATGGTTGGGGCATCAGTCTTATAATTATGTGGATGGACGCTGCAGTATTTGGTTAAACAGGTGTGACAGCGACAAATCGAAAGAAGTGCAAGAAAGGAGAAAAGCATGGGGGAGGGTGGGAGGGAAGGACTAGGCAGTTGCCGAGAGAACAAAAACAGTCCGAGTGGTGAATCGAGATGGTGCAGGGTTTACTTTTGGAGGAGAGCACGCCACGGTCGTTGCCTGAGCCCTGCAGCAGAGACACGTTGAGCTGGCGGGGTGCGGTATCAAACGACGGCACCTTGTACGACCACGTGCCGTCCGTCAGAAGCTTGCCAGATGCCTCGTCGACCACCACCTCCTCTGAGGTGAAGAAACCCTGCCCCTGCACGAACGCCCCTTCCACCTGGGAGGGAAGGAGAGGAGAAGGGATGTTAGGGGACGTAACGAGAAGAATGATAGAGCTCTTTCTGAAAAAGGTCCCAACGGTTACAACAGCCTGCCCCTGATGCCTCGTCGACCACCACCTCCTCTGAGGTGAAGAAACTCTGCCCCTGCACGAATGCCCCTTCCACCTGAGAAGGACGCATGAGAGAGGGGAAGGGTGTGAGAGGGGGGCGAACCAGACTGGAAGAATTACCAGCAGAATGAAGACGAAGTGTAGGCAGGGATGGGACGAGGAGGGAAGGGAGATGACAGATTGGGAATGACGGCAGGAGCGCTTGGACACATGAAGGCAACCAAGGGTTTGGACAGGCGGTGGAGAACACAGAGGGATGCATGACATGTAGTGGGCGCGAGCTCAGCCAAGCACATCATGCAAGAATGGTGTATAAAGGGACAGAATGATGGGTGTGGGGGGGGGAAATGGATGGGTGGGTGGGTTGTTGAATGCCACTGTGGAGATGTGTCTGACCTGTCCTATGTCGACAGCGGGGTTGAGGCTGCGGCCACAGTCATAGTGGATGTCACAGCGCAGCACACTCACACTCCCTGTCGCCACATCCACCTCCACCTGCCACACACAGAGGGGCGCGACAAGGGAGGGGGGGGACGCAAGGGGAAGGCATGGGCAGAAAGGCACGGCACAGAAGGGAGAATGATACCATCCTTGCGTTACCACCATCACATCACCGCATGGCATGGCACGGAGAGAGATGGTGCACGTACAAGGAGCCAAACCAGCACCACATGGGACTGATTGGCTACCTCTGAAACAGCTGCACCGAAGTTGAAGTAGGTTTGGAAGAAGCTCCCAGGGGGTGGCACAGGCTTGTAGTTAGCCTGAGCAGACAGGTGCATGCGCATGGCCTTCGCCTGACCTACGACCTCCTCCCAGCTCGCCACATCCTCTTCCCCCACCACCACATCAGCGCCTGCTGCTGCTCCCGGGCCAAACATCCCCCCTGGCCCGGCATTCACCCCGAGCCTCTTGCACGCCTTGGCCTTTTCCGCTGCTGCTTTGGCGGTCTGGAGCAAGGGGAGGAGCTGGCTGCATGCGAGCTGTATGGCGGCGCAGGAGGCTTCGGAGGTGGAGCTGGCAGAAGTTATGCCTGCATTGCCCATGGCTATACTGTCGTTGTCAACCACTCTGATGCGACTCACATCCACTCCAAAGCTGCTCATCATGCCAGTGCTGCTGCTGCTGCTGCTGCTGCTGCTGAGCCAGAGCTGATTGAGCGAGTTAGCAGCAGCCTGGCGCACTTTGGTGAACAGCCCCTGACCCATCTCCACCCCTCCGGTTTCCACAGCCACTGACGCATCCCCAAACACGGTCACCCGTGCAGGCTTGCCCATAATAGGCACCATGTAGTGCACAGGAGCGATAGCCAGGCCTCTCTTGCGCCATGTGTGTGCGGAGTTGAACTCTTGCACTGCTGCTGCCCGCTTGCTGTAGCTGGAAAGGGATTTCACCTCCCTCCACACCCTCTCAGCTATCGCCCCCTCATCCTCCAGCTTTTCCTCCTTTGCTTTTCCCCCATGGTCATCGCTGCTGCTGGTGCTGCTGCTCCCCCCATTACCAGCAGTACCAGCAGCGCCGTTGCTCCCATTGCTCTGCGTCGTCGCAGCAGTAGCAGCGGCAGCAGGAGCGGTGGAATCAGCAGCAGGAGCAGAGGCAAGAGCGGGAGGAGCAGCAGGCACAGGAGCAGGAGGAGGGAAGGCACGGGGGAAGAAGGCACGGAGGGAGTCGGTGGAGATATGGTTGTGCTCGCGCACGAGTACGGGGTCCAGATTGAGAACTGCTGCCACGTGGTCCATGACTGTTTCTGCCACCAGCACTCCCTGCACCTCCCCTGGCGCCCTCACTGTCACCCGCGTGGGAAGGTTGGTTCTGAGGGGGGGGGGAGAGGAGAGGAGAGGAGAGGGGAGGAGAGGAGAGGAGGGGAGAGGAGAGGAGAGGAGGGGAGAGGAGAGGAGAGGAGGGGAGAGGAGAGGAGAGGAGAAGAGAAGAGAGGAGAGGAGAGGGGAGGAGAGAAGAGGAGAGGAGAGGAGAGGAGAGGAGAGGAGAGGGGAGGGGAGGAGAGGAGATGAGAGGAGAGGAGAGGAGAGGAGAGGCGAGGAATAATGGGATGGATGTATGAGTAGAGGGAGGGAGGAAGTGAAGTAGGGAAGAGGGGTAGAGAGGGAAAGAGGGAGGGGGGCGATGGAAGAGGAGGCATGGGAAGAGGAAGGGATGTGAGGATACAGGAAGAACCATAGTTGATTGACGACCTTGGATGGTACTCACACTGCACTTGCCTATCACCACAGCACCACAACGAGGGAGTTTTGAGCTAGGCTGTGATAGGTTTTAGAGGATTCTAAAAAAACTATCACGGGAAGAACCACAGTTGATTGGCAACCTTGTATAGCATTCACACTGCACCTGCAGATCACCACATCACCACTACCCAGCCATGACTCTTACCGTGCAAACAACCCACCCCCCCACACCCCACTGCCCCATCCCCGCCCCGCTACCCACCACCCTCCTCCCCCCCCCCCCACCCCCCTCCCGTTCCCCACCTGCACCTATTCCCCTTGTCTCACTTGGCGAACTTGATATCGATGTGCAGTGCGCCCCAGTCGTACTGCGTGAGGGCCGCCCCATAGTTTAAGGGCAGCCAGTTGCTCATTGTCTCGCTGCTCCCACCGTTCAGCACCGCGCTCACCCGCAGCGCGTGCACGCGCCCCGTCTCGTCGTACCCCACGTCGTAGCGCACCCGGGACTCGTGCCTGCCGGCCACTAGGGCTGTGTCCGCCTTTCGGTCTAGAGCCAAGCGCACTGGGCGGTGCAGGTGCTGTGCTGCCAGCGCACATGCCACCGCCACCTGAGAGGGTAGAGAGGCGGAGCGGAGGGGGTAGGGGGATGGGGAGAACGGGGAGGCGGGGAGCGAGAGAGGGAAGAAAATGAGGGGAAGAGGGGAATGGACGGTGGGGATTGAGGCATGAGCATCGAAAGGTCACGTGAAAATAAGCGCTGCATTGGGAGCAGGAATGATCCCTGGCTGAACTCGTTTGTACCAGCATGGCTGAAGCTGTCATCCAGCCATCAGCAAATGCCTCTCATCCACCACTTCCCATCCACGAATCCCCTTCCAATCCCTTCCCAATCCTCGCTCAATAACCCCCCCCCCTCCCCCTCCCCCCTAGTCCCGTCGTACCCAGCAGGCCTGAATGACCTTGCCTCCGAATCCGCCTCCCAGCCTCCTCGTGACGACGCGCACGCAGCTGACAGGCAGCCCCAACGCCGCGGCAACGCTCTCCTGCGTGTACTGGGGGGTCTGCGTGGCACTGTACACGGTGAGGGTGCCGCCCTCGTCCGGTACCGCCATGGCCACTTGGGGCTCCATGTAGTAGTGCTGCTGCGAGCCCGAGCGCACCTGGTGGGCGGGGAGGAAGGAGGAGCAGGTGTGGGGAGGAGGAGCAGGTGTGTGGAGGAGGAGCAGGTGTGGGGAGAACGAGCAGGTGTGGGGAGAAGGAGCAGGTGTGGGGAGAAGGAGCAGGTGTGGGGAGAAGGAGCAGGTGTGGGGAGAAGGAGCAGGTGTGGGGAGAAGGAGCAGGTGTGGGGAGAAGGAGCAGGTGTGGGGAGAAGGAGCAGGTGTGGGGAGAAGGAGCAGGTGTGGGGAGAAGGAGCAGGTGTGGGGAGAAGGAGCAGGTGTGGGGAGAAGGAGCAGGTGTGGGGAGAAGGAGCAGGTGTGGGGAGAAGGAGCAGGTGTGGGGAGAAGGAGCAGGTTGAGAGAGAAGATGTTGGGGGGGGGGGAGAGGAAAGCGCTGAGAGGCCTCAACACACAATGCCATGGCCATTTGAAAGTTAAGGGCGTAGTTAGAAGAAACCACTCCTCACACGTCCGTCTGTCTGGGCCCAAGCCACTCCTTCCAATACATCCTGTTTGCAACCGTTCTTGGCTCACCCACCTTTTTTTAAGAGTTCTCAATGGTGACTATGCAGCCGTGCTTGGTTCCCACCCACCCACGCACCCACCCACCCACCATCGTTCAGGAGCAGCCGGAGCGATCAACGCAATTGCCATGCAGCAGCAAGCATGCAGCACACCTCACCTCAGCTCCTGTGATCTTCAGAGGGCTCTTGTCAAAGGCCTCCTGGAAGTTTCCGCGGCGAGGGATGGCCATGAGAAACATGGGGTTGGGGGGGAAGAAGGTCCCGGCGGCCTCTGCCTGCTCTATGGTCAGAATGGGCCCAGACGTGGCGGCTGCGGATGCTCCAGGTGCTGCTGCTGCTGCGTCTGCTGCTACTGCTGGTTCCGTTGTGGGCTTGTCAGGAGCAGGAGGAGGGGAGGAGTCGTAGGTGCAGCACACCTTGCGCGCGCCCTCCTGTGCATGGCGGTAGGAGTCAGCCACCTGAGGAGTGAAAGGGGAAATGGTTAAGCGGGGCCGGGGAGAGGGGGGGAAGAGGGATATGGGGGAGAAGGGGGTTGGGGTTGTGGACCGTGGGGGAGAGGGGGAAGGGAGGGAAGATAAGCGGGATATTAGACATGTAGACAGCAGGTAAGGTAACCAGCATGCAGTCGAATGGTGGGTACTTGGGTAATAGAAAATCTCCAAAACGACCTGACTGCACCCCCACCAAACACCAGCACACACACCAACCACCCAACCACCCAACCACCCAACCAGCCGCATCCCACCGTCTCCCATCCATCCAGACCCACCACGAGAGCCACTGGCTGGCCGTAGTACTCCGTTTTCCCCTCCGCAAACAGCGGATCAATGGTCCCCAGGATGTTCGACCCCACGTTGGTTCCCCCAGGGGGGAGGTGCGAGGCGTCCAGCACGGCCACAACGCCCGGGGAGGCGAGCGCAGCCGCGTAGGAGCGCGAGGTGATGCGCGCAGAGGCGTGGGTGGAGACTGCAAAGGCGGCGTAGAGACAGGAGGAGGGCACTGGTATGTCGTCCACGTAGATGGCATGGCCTGGGGGGGGGTTGGGGGGATGAGAGGGGAGAGAGGGGAGAGGGGAGGGGGAGAGGGGAGGGGGGAGATGGGAGAGAGGAGGGAGTAGGGCAAGAAGGGACTTGTCGACAAGAGGGGAGATGCTGAGTGGGTGGGTGGGGCGAGCAAGTGCCGAGCAGAGGCGGCTGCAATGAGCTAGGTAAGCAGGAGGTTAGGTACAGGGATGATTGCACGTAAGCTAGGATCCGACAGCGGAGAGAGAGATTCTGTGCCGCAGAGGGCAGCTCGGATAACCATGAGGCAAAGGTGGGTGAGGTGAGGGGAACTTGACCCGAATGACTCAATAGACCTTGAGAGATGGTGAGCGTGAGGAAGGAAGGAGGGGAACGGCTGGGCGGCGGTGTACGTGTGTGTACCTGAGGCTTGCAGGTCGGCGCCCAGCTTGGGAAGCGGCAAGGCGAGTGGGAAGACGTCGTTGGTGACACTGAACACCTGCTGGCCCCTCATCACTGCGTGCTGCTGCTCGCTGCTGCCCTGCACACCGTCCCCACTCACACCACCATCACCACCACCACCAGCCGCAGCCGCAGCCACAACTGCAGCAGCACCACCACCATTGGCACCAAGGGTGCCATTGGCACCACCACTTCCATTGCCGTCAGCAGCAGCGGCACCGTTCCCATTGTGCAGGACCTTCTTGGGCGGGGCCATCTGGGGCAGGTGGCGGGAGAGGAAGGAGAAGAGGAACCCCACAGCCGCCTCCACTCTGTACTCCGCCCACTGCGTCCCCTCTGGGGGGACCACCTCCCCGCGCACTGCCCTCACCGCCTCCAGCACGCTGCCAGGTGTCAGCGCGCCATTGGGCGCAGCGAGAAGGCGGGACTCGGCCTGGCGAGCTCTGATGGCGTGGGGACTTCCGAACGCCCCGAAGACCAGGCGAGCGGAATGGACAATAGGGGCCGGGGGTGGGGGGAGGACGAAGAGGAGGAGTCGGAGGAGGAGGAAGCAGGGGTGATGCGAAGGAGGAAGGCAGCATTGACATAAGCATAGGCATTGCCAGACGGGCGGACGGACGCACGGAAGGAGTCAAACACGAGCTGCTGGCCCGCAGAGGAGGGGGAGGCAGGGAGCGAGGGGCAGGGCAGGAAGACGGAGTGCAGGAGAGTGGTGCCAGGCAGAGGCCCACGGAGCAGAAACTGCTCCAAAGAGAGCTCCTCCCACGCCCACCCATCACTGCTGCCTTCTCCTGCTGCTGCTGCAGTGGGCTTGGGCGTGGCGGTGCGCACAGAGGCGCTGAGGGCGAGCAGGAGAGTGGCGACGTCCGAAGGGAAGGCACGGTGAGAGGCGGCAAGGACGAGGTTACCCCCGATGCTAGCCGCATTGCGCACATGCGGCCCTGCCACCTTGCGCAGGTGAGCAGCCGCGCAAGAAAACACCTCTGCTGATACTGCTGATTCTCCGGCCGCCTTGGCTTCATCCCAGCCGTCGATCACTGGAGCATTGCCCTCGCTGGGGTTCTTTGCAGCACCAGTGCCCTTCCCTGCCACTGCATCCAGCACTGCAATTACATCGGCCAAACACACAGTCGCACCGAATCTAATCCCCATCACACGAGCACTTCCCCCCTCTCCTCCCGTGCTTCCCTCGCCCCCCTCTCCGTCCTTTCCACCCAGCCCTTCCTCCCATGCCACGCGCTGCAGCTCCAGCACGCGCTTCAGATCCAATCTCGTCACACGCGCCACCCCATCATACCGCGCAAGCTCGGGGTACACGCCCGCCGCCGTGTTGCCCACCACCAGCCGAATCTCCCCACCACCACCACCCGCTCCTCCTCCCTCCCCTTGCACTGCCGTCCCCTGACCGTCCTGACCGGCCTCTCCTCCCTTGCCGCCCTGGCCTCCCCTCAACAGCACTGATCTCAGCTCCTCGAGACTCCTGGGCGCCACCCACGCAACCTTCCTCCCCTTCCTCCCAGCCTTCACTGCCTGCTGATCCTCCTCTACTTCATTGGCCTTGCCTGCCGCTTCCCCAGCACCTGCTTCCTCCCAGAACTCCCACCCTAGCATCTTATCCCCACTTCCATCACCTCCCTTTTCACCCTGCGTCTGCTGCGCGCCGAGCTGGCGCTGGGTCTCTCCCTTGAGCCACGCGGGGAACAGCGGGTCGAAGAGGGGGTTGTAGCGGGGGAGGGGCTTGCGGGGCGCGCTGCACAGCCCGCTGCACTTGCCGCTGCCGTTGCTGCCATCACCTGACCGCTGCTGCTTACCGCCACACTGCTTCCCCTGCTGCTGTCCGTTGCACTCCATGGCCGGTGCAGAGGATGCCGCAGGGGCGAACTCACTGATACCCTCCGCCCTGCAGGAACGCATGGCTGCAGCAGCAGCAGCAGAACCAAGCTCTTCCAGATCCATCAATCCCCCCAACGCTCCTGCTGCTGCTGCCGCACTGGCATTCGTGCTCCCAGCAAAGCTCTTGCAGGCGTCGAGAATGGGGCGGTACCCCGTGCAGCGGCACAGATTCCCCGCCATTGCTTCCTCCACCTCCTGCTCCGTCAACCCACTCACAACCTCCACTCCCTCCCCCTTGTTACCCCCATCACCAGCACCATTTGCCCCGTCAGCTGCACCAGCACCACCATCAGCAGCAGCAGCGCCGTCACCAGCAGCAGCGGCGGAGCGTCGTCGGCGGAGAGCGGCGTAGAGCGCGATGGACATGCCGGGGGTGCAGAAGCCGCACTGGGACGCGTGGAACCCCGACAGCCGCTGCTGCACCGCGTGCGGCTGCTCCGCGCGCCCGCCCTTGTGACACGAGTGCGGATCCCGCTGCTTCGTCGCCGTCGTCGCACCCGCGCCTTTAGGCGTACCGTTAGCTGCGCCATTGGCTGCGTGGTGGTCGGGGGAGGTTGCGCGGGGCGCGGAACAGAGTCCTTCCGCGGTGGTGACGGCGGCGAGGTGCAGCGACGCGAGCGGGAGCAGGCACGAGTTGAGCGAGCGCTCGTCAATGGCGCCAGTGAGAGGGTTGTAACGCGCGACCATGACCGCGCATGCACCGCACCCGCCTGGGATTGTAGGAGGGGAGCGGAAGGAAGGAGCGGAGGTTCGAAGGGATGAAAGATGGTGCAATGTTTGATATAACTGGCATGGCTCCATGAAAGATGGTGTCCGCCACGAGACTGAGCCGTCGACAAGAGAGACATTGTCAAATCGCCAGCTCCAATGTCCTTGTATGCTAGTCATGAGCTAAATTCAAGGGGAGATCCAGCTTCGCTCAGAAAGAGTTGCCTACCTTCACCGCAGGCCAGCTTCGTTCCCGTGAATTCCGTCCTCGTGCGGATGAATTCGTTGACAGTCATGGCGGGATCCACGTCACGAACTTCCATGCGCCGTCCATTCAGGGCGAACACCAGCGGCGTCTGGCCGTTAGCACCAGAATGCAACGCGTCGCGCCCCATGCTGACGAAGAAAGACTTCACCTTCGGGATATGGGGTCCTACTGCGAGCAGTCTTGGCAGCAGCACAGCAGCACCAGGTTCCGACTTACTTCTCCTGCTAGCAGCTCAGAGCAGCTCTTCTGTCTGATGAATCAAGGAATCCAGCATTCCTTAGGGCGTGTGACCTCTCAGTACGAAGAACACCGGAATCCGAACAGAACGGCAGGTTACGAATTTGGCGAATGTCGTGAAATCCGTCGCGAAGTTGTCGCGAAAACAGTGGAAAAGCCCAAATGAGAGGACGCAGACCGTTCGAATAGCGGCATTCGAACGGTCAGGCATGCACCGTTCAAAAGGGTGCTTCCTCCCGCGTTACAAAAAACTGACGAACACCTGCGAATTCCCAAATGTGCCTCGGGCGCCCATGCGACGCCCAGGGCGCGTCGCACGTTGTCGCAAGTGTCCGAACAATCAAACTTTCAAATTGGGTCCTGACGGCACAGAAATTGCGCCTGGAAAATCGTATATTTTCACGGTGTCGCAGGAACAACGAATAAGCTTGTTCGAATGCCTTAAATTTGAAATCGTTCGGATTTTGAACAAACTCTCACATGTAACACGCCCTCAGAGCAAGTTCCTACAGACGTTCCTAACATCGGTTGGGAAAGCTTGTGCATGAGACTGTTCCCAACCAACGTGGGACTGTTCGGAATGATCAGAGTCGTTCCGAACGAACTTCCTACTGAAAAGCCAGGGTGTTCGCGAAGTAGCACTGCCCAATCAACGACTGGGACGATTCTACGGCAGCGACACACTCCCCACCTCGCCGTCTGCCAGTCCGTCTGCACGAACCGTCAGCGGTTTCCCACGAAAAATAGCGCTCCATTCCAGAGTTTGGCAAAAATAAAAATAAAAAAAATTACGGGATTTGTCGAGGCTTTGGTGTGCTCATGTAGTTCTTGTTGTGCTTGTATCTACCGAGTGTGGGTTGGGTGGCAATGTTATTTTGCTTACCAAATTCGAGTTTCGACCGCATAAATTTTTCTTTTGAGCATTCCAAACCGTTCTGATGGCTATACTTGTCGCACGCATGTTGCAGTGAAATTCGTAATGGTTCGCAGCACACCATGGCCGTTTGTGGTTGTACATGCCCATCCTGGTACAGTACCGCTTTGGCCCAACAGATGGTCGGAACATCCGTAGGTACACTCGCTCTTAGATTTCTTCAGCCCCAGGAGAGGATCATGTACACATTACAGCTGATTGACAATGGGCCTGGCTGGCGCTGGGCATGACTCTGGTCTTGTATAGAGTGCAGTGCAGTAGAAAGCAGGCTTGGAGGGAGGACGGCAGCTTTCGTGCAGGCTTGCGAACCTTCACAGCTGATGTGGTGATTTATAATTCGCCCATATAATCCTCATCAAGTCTCAAGGCAGCCCGAGCCTCGCCTGCCTTCCAAGCTCGACACCAGGCCACAGGCTGGGGGGCTGTGGGAGTCTCGCTTACCACCACTGCACCCATCTCTTATGTCTTGTCCGGTATATGCAATGGTGGACCACAAACATGTGGCAAGGGGCATGCATATAAAGAATTTAAATGAAGCGAATGCTATGAAGGCATTCTAAACGCTTAAAGTGTCCTCGATCGGGACCCATTTTTACGTGCTACAATAGGATCCCTTAGTATCATGATTTGATGTTTGCTTGATCGTAGCTGATGTATGGTACGATATGTAAACACGAGGATGTTGAAAGTAACCATTCAAATATCATATAATCATAGCCAGTATTTCGTGTACATTTTCGAATGCGTTTGATGGTATAGAGAACTAGAATCTCGATCAGGCTACATGATGTTGCTGGTCTTGCAACACGTTGACACACTGAATGAACCAATTGCCACCTGTATTCACGCGTGCTGTATGAATCACCACGGTCAGAAAGGTGCATGTCGGGTGTGGAGTCCAAGGAGGCGAGGGCCAAATCTGACGCACTTTGAGTCAACCCACGTGGCTGGCAGAGATGGTGTGTTGGGGCGGCGATATTGGCGCTGGAGGGATCAAGCCTCTCTCCTCGCCTCCTCCCGGCCGCAGAGACCACAACGCTTTCCACCCACTGGTCAGAGCGGTGATTGGCTAAGAGGTAAATACCAGCTGGCGGCCACTGTTCGCGAAGCGCTGTGGCTCAATCTCCACCGTAGAACTGAACGAACGGCGCACAGCTGCTTCGAAATGACTCCGTGCCTCGTGTGCTCGCCACTTGGACACGACACATTGACGATAATCCGCGAAAGAGATTGTTTTCGCCTGCGCTGCGCAAAACGGGTGCTCCACAACAGAGCCTAGAGATTCTCAGCGAAGCCCAGCTTGGCCTGATGCGAGATTCGCGAGCGAGCCTCGTTTTCGTACACAACAGCCATGACAACACGCTGCCTGCACTTCCCTCAGCACCTCTCCCCAGCACACACGCCCACCACGCAAGCCATTCTCTCACCTTCGCGCTTCGGCAGAATTCCAGAATCTCACTTGTTCGCATTTCAAAACCCATCCACCGCTTCCCCATAGTTTTTTACTACTGCCGTGCCAGAACTGCACTGCTAGACATCACTTACTTCACTCTAGTCTAACTCGAGAACGACTGAGTGGTTAGATCATTCGACGGTAGCTCTCTCCTGCCGCTGTGACGCGCTTGTAGCTGTCACCGTGGCAACCCTCTCGCCTTTGAGGCGTTTGTTCGCCCCGCTGGCGTTTTCACCACCCTGGATCGACCGCAAGATCATTCTTCCGTCCACCGTGACGCGCGCTCTCCTCTCTCTGCTCTCTCCGTTCTCCCTGTTGTCTCTGCTATCTCTTCTCGCTCTGCACGATGCTAAGCACATCCGCGTTACATCCTCGCTGCATTAATCCAGGCTTGAAAACACAAGCCGCCGTGCCACCACACCACCCACCAACACCGCGGGCTTTAAGCTTGCCTCCTTCACCCTCCTCCGATCGCCTGTTTTATCCGCGCGTTCATCACATCCCATCACCCTCGCTTCTCTCGACGTGCGCGCATCGCGGCTTCATCGTCACCAATCAACTCCTGCCACGCGGCGGCCGATCAGGCCCCTCCCGCCACACCCCCGCGCTGCCCCCGTACGCGATCGCACCTTTCCGCAAATCGCATACGACTAAGAAGTCCGCCGGGGAAGCCCCGCAGGTCACGCCGTCCAGCCCGCGTTCCGCGCCCCGCCACTCGAGGTCCGTGTCGCCGCCTGTGGCGGAACAACACACAAGTACAACTTGGCAAGAGCGCCCCGCCGATTTCGCCGCCGACTTTGCCGCTGACTCCGCCGACGCGTCTCGTCTGCACGATGGTCTGAGCGAGCCGCCTACGACCCGCACTGGGACGCCAGGCCTACCTCGACCAGGGGAGTCAAACCCTTCATCGTCGTACTCCAAGCGGCCTGCTGAGGCGTCGTCAGCATCGTCGCCGTCGTCGTCGCCGTCGTCATGGCTCTCCAACGTGTCGCTCTCTCTGCCGGTGAAGTCCCTCCCCGCGATCGTCGGAGACGCGGGCATCGTGGCGTTTCTCCTGGGAAAAGACGGCGATACCACCGGTGATTATTGCGCTCCTGGCGACGAGCACCACGAGGATTTCGAGGGTGCGCTGGGCATGAGCGCGACTCCGGCAACAAGCTCAGCGGGCTCAGCGGGGTGGCCAGCATCGGGCGGCGGAGGCGGCGGAGGCGGCGGGGCGATCCACGCGGTGGGCGCGGTGGTGAGCGCCGCCAAGGACGAGGTGCAGGAGCGGGTGCGCGCGCTGCTGCTGTCGCGCGCAGGAGATGACGGCACGCGGAAAGATGTCATGGCCGCGGACGACTTTAGTACCATCCGACATCATCCGCGAGACGAACCGGGGCCGCTTTCGATGCCAGTAATGGCCGCTGGGTCCCTCACTACCATGGAACCGCTGCCCGAGGGAGAGGCGGAAGGCGCACCGCGGGAGTGGCGGGAGGAAGAGGGCGCAGATGAGGCGGAGGCGGAGGCGGAGGCGGAGGGCGAGTGGGGCCCGCGCGTGTACATGCGCGGATTCATGTCTTTGTGGCGCGGGATGCGGGGAGAGCTGAAGCAAGACGCGCGGGAGAGGGAGAAGCGGAGAGAAGGGGAGGCGGAAGCGCGGAATGAGGGGAATAGTAATGCAGAGGCGGCGGAGAAGGGAAAGGAAGGGGAGGAGAAGGTAGCGGAAGTGAATGATGACTTCCCCCCCTTATTGGAGGCAGTGGCAGATATGGCGGAATCAGTCACAGTAGAAACGGGGGTTGAGGGTGCGGCAGAGGCGGCAGTATGGTTGGAGGAAGTAGACGAGGAGGAAGGGGCGGTCTTCGAAAGCGACCAAGGGGGTGAAGGAGAGGGACGAGGCGAAGGGAGGAGGGGCGAAGTGGAGAGCGGAGAGGAGAAGAAGAAGCCTGCACGCGCCAGTGCATGGGCGCTGGGCGTGCTGATCGACTGGCGGCGGCAGCAGAAGCAGGAGGAGCAGGCGCAGCCGCAGAAGCAAGGCAGCGGCAAAGCAGGGGGCGAAGAGGGAGCTACTAACGCCGAAACAACCTCAGGCAAGGATCAGCAGCAGCAGCAGCAGCAGCTGAAGGTGGAGGAGAGAAAGCAGGGAGTGCGTGACCCAAGCAGCGAGGATGAGACCGCCTTGGGCTCAGGCAGAGGAGCGAAGGAAGCCGGGGGCAAGCAAGCGTCAAGGAAGGCTGTCTCGTGTGACACCTGCAGCTCGTGCAAGGCGTTTGCTGCCACTGCTTCTGCGGCTGGTGGTGCCAGCGAGATGAAGGCAGGGGGGGCGGAATCAGAAGCAGCAGCATCAGGCAAGGGCCGGAGCGGCAGCGGTAACAGCAGCAGCAGCAGCAGCAGCAGCAACTCGCGTGGAGCGTGGGTGTCCCATACGGCTGAGTCGCTGCGGCCATTCCTGCAGCAGGCGTCGGGCGAGGAGCTGTGGCGCGTGTCGCTGCTCGCGTGGCTGTGCGAGAAGGCCTACAGCATCCCCCGCCTCGAGGTGCATGCCCGGCCGCGCTGCCCGGTCTGCCTTTTCTTTTATTTTCTTCTCTTTTCTTTTATGCGTGTGAAGGCTTTCGTTGTTGGTTTGTACGCGTCTCTGCCTCTTTCTACACCACTCCACGCGCCTTTCTGTCTCCTATGCTGCTGTCTTCCATTCTTTTTTGTTTCTTGCCCTTTTTTTAATGCCCTTCCTCCCTCTGCTGAAATCCCCCCCCTGTCCCTTGCTCCCCTTGCTCCCCTTGCCCCCTCCAGACCAAGCACCTGCATCGTCGCTTTGGCCTCTCCCTCGTCACCTCCTCGCACATCCTCGCCGCCGCTCAGGCAGAAGCCGCAGCTGAAGCAGCCGCCGCTGCTGCCGCCGCTGCCAGCCTCGCCAAGCAGAAAGCCAAGGCCGCCAGAGCAGCCGCAGCCGCAGCATCAACAACAGCAGCAGCAGCAGCCACTGCAAGCGCATCTCACCCCATGGCTGCGCTCCCTGCAGGGCCGTCTACCGAGCATGCGCTTCTCCCCGCTCCTGCCGTCCACGCTGCTTTGCCCGCCCCTCATGACTCCCCCGCTCCCTCAGCGCCAGCGCCAGCGCCAGCGCCATCACCATCACTGCCTGCAGCTGGTGCTCTTGAGGTCACTGCGCTGGTGGCCTCTCCTGTGCCTACCTCCACTGCCCTCGCTGGCGTTCCCCACACCACCACCACCCCCGCTGCACCAACTGCTGGCTCTGTCGGTGCTCATACTGTTTCGGCTGCTGTATCTCCGCCACTCCACTCTGCCCCTGCCCCTGCAGCTGCCGCTGCTGCTGCTGCTGCCACCGCTACGGGGTCTGAAGCGTCCTCTCCTGCATCTTCTGCCTCGTTGTCCTCACCTCCTACTGCACCCCATTCCCACCCCATCTCTCTGCACGCCACTGCTGAGGCCCTCGCCTCTGCTGCCTTTGCTGCCTCTGCGGCCTCTGCAGCCTCTGCGGCCTCTGCGGCCTCTGCGGCTTCTCCTGCAACTGCCGCTGCCACGCCTGATGCTGCGAGTTCTGCTTGTCCTGACACCGAAGGAGGAGCAGCAGGCCCCGCCGTTGCAGCACCTGCTGCTACAGGCGCAGCAGCAGCGGCAGTGGCAGGAGGCAAGACCACTAGTGCAGCGAGCGGGGAGGCGGCGGCGGCGGCGGCGGCGGCGGCAGGGGAGGGCGGGCAAAGCCCGTGCGCGTGGTACATATGCGATGACGAGGCGACCAACACGCGGTACATTGTCATCCAGGGGTCAGAGTCCGTGGCTTCCTGGCAGGCTAACCTGAGCTTCGACCCTGTGCCGTTTGAAGACCCCGCGCTGGGCGTGCTGGTGCACCGAGGGATATACACGGCGGCTAAGGCGCTGTATCGGGAGATGCTGCCTTACATCCGCTCGCACCTCCATGGCTGCCAGTCCTCTCACCACTCCCACACACACTCTCACTCCCACTCTGACACCCACTCCCACACACACTCACACTCACACTCAAACCCATCCCTGCCGCCACTCCCCCGGATCCAGTTCACCGGCCACTCCCTGGGCGGCAGTCTCGCCGCCCTCCTCTCCCTCCTGCTGCACCTGCGCGGGGAAGCCTCCCCCCACCACCTCCTCCCCGTCGCCCTCTTCGGTTCCCCCTCCATAATGTGTGGTGGAGACCGGTTACTAGGTCTTCTCGGCCTCCAGCCAGAAGAGGCCATGTGGAATGTGGTTATGGCGCGGGACTTAGTCCCCCGGGCGTTTACATGCGAATATCCCACGCATATCACAGAGGTGCTGAGGCGGGTGAGTGGGGCACTAAGGAAGCACCCGTGTCTGTTGTCTCAAAGGCTGGTGTATGCGCCCATGGGGCATATGATGGTGCTGCAGCCGGAGGACAGCAAGGCCCCTCCGCACCCCCTCCTACCGCCTGGCACCGCTCTGTACCACCTGGCGCACCCGGAGATGCCCGTACGAGTGCCGAACCCGCTGCCCTGGCACACTGTGGCTCTGGCCAGGCGCCTGTGGCGGCTGGTGGTGGGCCGAGGAGGAGCAGCAGGAGGAGCAGGAGAGGGAGGAGGGGAAGACAGGGGCTGGAGCGAGGAGAAAAGCAAGCAGGACTTATGGTCAGCACCAGCATCAGCACCGGCATCGGCACCGGCATCGGCATCGGCATCGGCACCGGCATCGGCATCGGCACCGGCATCGGCATCGGCACCGGCATCGGCCCTGTCCTCCCCTCTTTCCACCACCCCTTCATCCTCCTCCTCCTCCTCCTCCTCCTCCTCCCTCCTCCTCCTCCTCCTCCTCCTCCTCCTCCTCCTCCTCCTCCTCCTCCTCCTCCTCCTCCTCCTCCTCCTCCTCCTCCTCGTCCCCGTCCTCCTCTTCCCCGTCCTCCCCCACCCCTTCTCCATGCGCCTCTGCCTCCCCATCGTCATCATCATCATCACCTGCTGCAGCAGCGCAGAGCCGCCTGGAGCTGCGGGCAGCGCAGCTAGCCTTCCTCAACTCGCCGCACCCGCTCGAAATCCTCTCCGACCCAGCAGCGTACGGCACAGAGGGCACCATAAGCCGCGACCACGACCCTCGCAACTACACCACCACTCTCACCAGCCTCGCGCTGAAAGCTGTGAGGAGAGTGCGGCAGGAGCGGAGGGAGCGGGAGGAGGAGGAGGTTAGGCGAGCGAAGGAGTTGGCGGAGCGGCAGCAGATGATGATGCTACGGCAGCAGCAGCAGCGGCTGAAGCATCAGCTGATGCAGCTGGTGCCAAGGAAGAGGAGGCTGGTATCCCGGAGGAGGATTGCCAAGCAGAGCCGCCCCAAGCACGATGTGGTGGCTGCGTCCACCCTGGCGGCTGCTGCTGCCTCGGCGTTTCTGGCAACGACGAGCGGTGGGAAGGGGAGGTTTGACGCCAGGGGCGATTTGGGGTTGTCTTCTGCCTTCTCCTCTGGGCAGGCCTTGCCCCAGGGGGCTATTAGTGTGCGGTTTGTCGCTGCGGCAGTGGCAGCAGCAGCGGCAGCAGCCGGAAATGGTGCGGCTAGGGAGGGAAGGATCGGTGGGAAGGGGAAGAGCAGCAGAAACGGCATGGGTGCCAGCAGCAGGGCATGTGAGAGAATCTCAGTTGCAGACGCTTCTCTGGATCTTCTTTCCTTGCTAGACAGCGGCAGTGGCAGCAGCAACGGCAGCAGCTTTGGCAGCACTAGCAGCATGCCAGGAGGAGGAGCTATGGTTTGCGTGACCTCTGAAAGCGCTGAGTCCTTCAGTGCACATGGTTGTGGTGGAGGAGGAGGAGGAGGAGGAGGAGGAGGGGGAGGGGGGGCATCCACCCTACTCTCTTGCAGCCTCCCTCGCTCCTCCAGCCCTCCCTCTGCCCACTCGCCTCCCCTCACCTCCTGTGCGCTCCCTGCCAGCCCCTCAACCGTTTCTTCCCCTGCTTGGTCCAGCACTGGCACCGGCAGCAGCAGCAGCACTGCAGCAGCCACAGTGGCAGGGGCGGTGGGGGGCGAGCGCATTGGCGGCAGCAGCAGCGGGGGAGGGGAGGTGGGGAAGCGGGGGGGAGGTGGGTCGTGGATGGACTATTTTCTGTCGATGTACCGGTCGAGGCACGTGGGGGTGGTGCTGCTGCTGCTGGCTGCTGGGGCTAGTACACCTGTGAGCCCTGCCTCCGTGCTCTCTCTGCTCGTGTAACCAGCTGGGCATCTGAACCTCAGGGTCCAAGAAGAGAAGTGCATACAGTACAGAGTGACTGGCAGAATCTCCAGATGCAACTGCAGCAAATGCAGAACTTGCACAGATAGACCAGAAGAAAGGTTCCGGGATGACGGTGTATAGTAGCAGCAGTGGCAGCAGCAGCAGCAGCAGCAGAAGGTTTGTTGCACCTGGATAGGGGGGGCTGGTCATTCTCGCTGTTGACTTCTACGATATACCAGTCGACTGATGTGGGGCCTTATGGGGAACTCGTTGAAACGAGTCATCTCAACCTATTTGAAGACCTCGCTCGTGGTACATGGTGGGTAGGCATTCTTTGGCGACTGGCTCGTGGCGTGTGAATGAGAACACGCGCTGCAACACAGTATTACGCCAGTCAGCTAGCATAGGTAGGAAGGGGAGGTTGCCTTTTTGGTTTTTTTTTCTTCGGGCATTTGGATCATGATTTGCCCTTTTGGGCCTGTACATAATTCTTTTTGGAATGCATTTTGGCTTGAACACTGCCCATAGAAACAAAAGTGCAAAACTGGCCAATACCTGAGCGGCAATTTAGCGATTCAAGTACTCTCACACGAGCAGCATCCTGGCACCAGCACCCACTGCCAATCCATAGCTTAGAGCTTCTTCCAACAAGCCTCATATCAGACTCGCCCTTATCAGACTCGCAACATTCGCCTGACCGACGAGAATACAAAGCATTAAACAGTTATATCTCAGAGTTAGAAAGATTGACTAGAATGAGAGTATACAGGCGTATAAAGCTAGTGGGTTGTACCCTCTATGGTACGACTCTATGTAGTCTACTAAACATATACAAATATGTTTGACACACCCCCTAGACTAGATAGGGGCAGAGCCTGATGAGAGACAAACAGCTCAGGGCGGGACTACTAGTCCAACCTCTGAGGCAGGGGTCTAAAGACCAGTCAATGGACTACAAACAAGGCAAGAACACGACCAGGGCGGCACTACTAGCCCAGCCACAGGGAGGAAGCCACAAGGCCAGTCATGATAATATATAAAGAGTTATATACAATCAAGGTCCTAGCAAATGAGGTGCTACAGGAACGAGTCCAAGCTGTACACACTGCCGCTGATGATCTTTAGGCGCAAACGCCTTCGTAAAGATATCAGCTGTGTTGGCACCGGAGGCCAAGTGTACTACGCGAGCCTGGCGACACTGCTGTAGCTCGCGCAGGAGGAAGTACCGCAGCTGGATGTGCTTTGCTTTGCCCTCGAGTCTGGGCTCTTGACACAGGAGGATCATGGCCCTGTTGTCAGCGTACAGGACCACGACAGAGCTAGGCCGCTCACCTAAGTCTGTCAGCAACAAAGTCAGCCAATGGAGCTCCTGTGCCGCCATGGCACCGGCGTAGATCTCAGCCTCACAGCTAAACTGGGCAACAGACGACGAGCGGGTCAACCTCCACGAGACAGCACGTGCACTAAGGCCTAAGCAGTAGCCCTGGGAGGACCTGAGTGTCTCGGCGTCGTTTGCCCAAGAAGCGTCTGTGTGCCCGGTAAGGACCACTGGTCTCCGTCCTCCTAGCACTAGCCACATGCCCGATGTACTTGCTAGATAACGCAAAACCCTCTTAGTGGTCGGTGTCTGCCGAAGGCCACAAAGCGGGCCAGGATGCTAAGAGGGTATGCGAGATCTGGACGAGTGCAAGTCATCAAGTACATAAGGCAACCCACCAGCTCTGCCTAAGGACCACTAGGCTCTACAGCCTCCTCCGGAACTGGAGCAGAGAGTCTATGGTCTACTGGCAGAGGGGTGGGCTATGCGGAAGAGAACTGAAGACCGAACCTCTGAAGAACCTGGCGCACCAAGTGTGACTGTGTGAGAGTGATGGTGCGCGCTGCTCTGTCCCTGGAGATCTGCAAGCCAAGGTAGTGACGCAGCTCTCCTAGGTCAGTGCAGGTGTGTCTCCGCAACAGCTCGGCCTTTACGGAGGCCAGTGCGTCTCTTTCTGCAGTAGCAAAGACCGGATTGTCTACGTAGACAAGGATGTAGGATGGAGTCTGGCCGGAGCGGACGAAGAGCGACGGGTCCGCAGACGACGGGAAGAAATGCAGGTCAGCAAGTGTAGCACGCAGCGTGTCGTGCGACTCACGGCGCGCTTGGCGTAGGCCGTAGACAGGGCGCCGAAGAAGCCACTCAGTTTTAGGGGGAAAGGTACCAGAGAAGCCCTGGGGGCGGCGCAGGTAGACCTTATCGTGTAGACTGCCTTGGAGGAAAGCTGTGGAGATGTCGAGTGAGTGCAACTCGTAGTCACGCTGTGCTGCTACGTGTAGCAGTACCCGAAGAGTAGTCATCTTCGGGGTCGGGGCAAAGGTCTCAAAGAAGTCAACTCCCTCACGCCGACTGAAGTCACGAGCAACGTAGCGCACCTTGAAGACAGGCGGCTCTCCAGGAGGGCGCTTCACCTTGAAGAGCCATCGGCCATCGACTACGTTCACCCCAGGTGAGGGAACTGCGTCGACGAAGGTACAGGTGGATCTCCAAGATGCCATATCCTGCTCCATGGCAGCTATCCACTGAAAGGCCTAAGGTTCCGAGGTGGCCTCAGCGTAGGTGCGAGGGGTCGGGATTTCAAGGGCGTTTAGGTCACCCTCAGTGACTAGCAGGATGGAACAGAGATGGGGAGCAGCCTCTGAGAGGAAAGCAAGCTCGTACTATCTGTCCTCCATGGCAGACAGGTTGTCGCGGCTAGGTGCTAGGGAACGGGGCCGTGGGGCCAGCAAGGCAACAGGGCAGCGGGGCTCGTGGGGCGGCTAGGAGCTAGGCGACGGGGCAGGCTAGGACCTAAGGTGGAAGCGCGGGTGGGCGGGGGGACCTATCCTACTCATGATACCATCTTAGAGCTAGAAAGATTGACTAGAATGAGAGTATACAGGGGTATATAGCTAGTGGGTTGTACTCTCTATGGCATGACCCTATGTAGTCTACTAAACATAGAGAAATATGTTTGACATCATACACCACATTAAACCACTTTGCTTCAAGCTCGCACTGCACAGTGACGCGCGAGTCTAAGAAGAGGCACTCTGATAACTGGCTCGTAGGAACACGCTATAACTAAGACCATGAATACCAAGAATAGTTGCACACTAAAATGGGGCTAGCTAGTCAATAGCTCATTGGCAGCAGCACCACAGAAAGCTGACTAGACCAAGAGAGAAGGGAGTGCTTCGTTGCACCCCTCCACTGTTCGGGTGAGGGGCTGTGCCCCTGACAGCAATACTGTTGTCGCTGTGACGAGGAAATCGTTAACTAGCTAGGATGCTAGGAAGAGGGAGCCATGAAATGGCGTGAGGTTTTAGGCTATGAGAAATATCGAGAGAGAAGAGAATGAGATAAGAAGATAGAGGGATACAAGAAGAGGGGTTGTACAGTAGAATCCAGTAATACCTACCAAGCCTACCATAATATATATCTCAAATATATAATTTAACACACCCCCTAGGCTTGGTAGCTGAAAGCCCACCACACACACAGCACACTAAGCCACACACCCCCTAGCACCCCCATACTCAGCAGCAGTGACGGTTACTCCCGCATGGTCAACCCCACGGTGCGTGAGCCAGGGCGACGACGACAGCGAGGGCAGCGGCTGCAACGGCGGCAGCGTCGACAGCGGTGGCGGCGGCGACATGCGGCGGCGTGGCCAGTGGCACCAGCTGCGGCTGCGGCGGCTTCGACGACAGCTGCCGGCAGCGGCGGAGCTCGCAGCACTTGGCGGCGTGGCCGGGCTTCGTGACGTTGGGACGGCCGGCCCGTTTCAGCCGTCGGCTGCGGCGAGGAAGAGGGGACGCAGGGGAAGGAGGGGGGGGGGGGGGCAGGGCTTCAGCAGCGGAGCCCGGGAGCGTGCCGCCCTGTGTGGCGCTGTGGCTGCATGCGGGCATGCTGGCCAGTGCTAAGACGCGGCGCTGGCCGCTGCTGTCAGTGCCGTACGCGCGCTGGCAGCACGATGGCGCCGTCACGCCGCCACGGCGTGACGTCGACGCCACGAGAGCGCGACGCCACGGCAGCGCGTCGAGACGGCCGTGGCAGCACCACGCGGCCGGCGGCACGACGACGCCGCCACAGCAGCACGACGCGACCGCCATGGCAGCGCGAGAGGGGGAGGAGGAGTGCGCGGCGGAAGTGTGATAAGCAGGTCCAGTTGGTTGAACCTACTCTGTTACCATGTTAAACTAGCTAGGGTGCGAGGAAGAGGAAGCCATGAAATGGCGTGAGGTTTTAGGCTAGGAGAAATATCAAGAGAGAAGAGAATGAGATTAGAAAAGAGAGGGATACGGTACAAGAAGGGGGGTTGTACCCTCTACAGTAGAATCCGATAACACCTACCAAGCCTACCATAATATATATCTAAAATATATAATTTAACAGAACGGAAACTGCGACAGCAATCACGGGCACTGGCATGAAAGTCAGAATCAAACACTAGCTCAGGGACTACCTAAGAGACTTGCTCAGGAACTTGCTCAGGGACTTGCTCAGGTGCTCAGGGTATTGCCCTTTGGGCCACTTGAGAAGCAGAATCAGGCACGACGAGCGAGGAATGTGAGGGTAAGGGAAAATAACGAACACCCAAACCAGAGGGAGTTCAGATCAGATCAGACCAGATCAGACTAGATCAGACGCGGCGGCGAGCGAGGCAATAGACGACGACCCTGCGGCTGATGAAGTCCGGGTGCAGATGGGCGTCTGGCAGCCTGCCCACTGTGAAGAGCGGCTGTGCCTGCTCCAGAAAGAACTGCAACACCTCGTCTGTGGCGCATGTGCAGGGGAGGAGGAATAGTGAAATGGAGACTTTTGAATCGCCTCAACAGATGCGCGTCTGGCAGCCTGCCCACGGTGAAGAGCGGCTGTGCCTGCTCCAGAGGGGAGGAGGAGGAGACGAGAGGAGAGGGAGGCAAAGAGAGGAGAGGGAGGTGAAGAGAGGAGAGAGAGAGGAGACGGAGGAATGAGGAGAGAGGGACGAGAGGAGGAGCAGAGGAGGAAAGAGGAAGCTAGCTGATAGCTTCAGGAGGAGGCATGAAGGGCAATGTGAGGGTATGCGTGTGGAGGTGAGCATGGGGAGGTGTTATACACCCACTACGTTAGACCATCCTCCTGCCCACCATCCCTATGCCCACCATCCCTACGCCCACCATCCCTATGCCCACCATCCCTATGCCCACCATCCCTATGCCCACCATCCCTATGCCCACCATCCCTATGCCCACCATCCCTATGCCCACCATCCCTATGCCCACCATCCCTATGCCCACCATCCGACGCTTACCATCCCCTGCTCACCGTTTCTGAGTTCGCCGGCAATGAGCACGGTGGTGTTCGCACACGTGAGCTGCCTCAGCGCCAGCATCAGCAGCTCCACCCCTTCCTCACTGAACACCACGTCCGACGCCAACACAAAGTCATACCCCTTCCGCCCCCGCCCATTCCCCCCCTCTCCCCCCTCACTCCCCTCACTGCCTCCATCTCCCCCCTCCCCCTCGTCCCCCCCCTCCTCCCTCCCATCTGCATCATCACCATCATCGTCATCGTCGCCGTCGAATCGCGGCAGGACCATGTCCTCCCCCCACTCCAGCTCGAAGACCCGCACTCGCACTCTCGTCTCCTCGCCCTTCCTCCCATGGGTCAACTCCACCACCTCCGGCCACGCCCCACTATCCCCTCCTCCTCCTCCCGTTCCCCCATCACTAATGGCAGCTCTTGCTGCTGCTGCTGCTGCTGCTGAGCCGCCCTTCCCTGCTCCTCCCCTGCACTTCGCCCCCCCACCGCTACCCCCACCACTGCCACTGCTGCTCGGCGCTTTCCTGGCCGATGCATGGTGGGAGGAGGAGGATCCATGAGAGTGAGAGGAGGAGGAGGAGGAGGGGGCGGAGAGGGGGTGCGAGGGGAGCAGGTTGTGGCAGACGTTGCGGTGCAGCAGGCGCAGGCGGTCGAACTGGTCTGTGATGTGCACGTGGGACGCTCCCAGCAGCGCTGCCACTATGCTGGGGAGGGAGGTGAAGAGGGGGGGGGGTTTGGGGATGGGGGGGCCGAGGGCGCAAAGCAAGGCGGGGAAGAAAGGCATGGGGTTGTGGTGCAGCAGGTGCAGGCGGGTGTGCTGATCTGTGATGTGCACACGGGATGCTGCTCCAATCAATGCTGTCACTATGCTGGTGGTGACAGACGTGCGCGGCGAGAGGGGGGGGGAGAATGGTGCAGATTTGAGAAAGTGGCAAGGTGGAGATACATAGATGAGGATTAACCTTCTTGTGTCTTTGCACTACCCTCCCGCAATCACCCCCCTAAATCAACCTCTCTCCATCACAATATAGGATATCAAGCCCTGCACCCCCTGTAAAAGCTTGCACCCTCCCTGTTCCACCCACGCACCCCACGAGGCCGCAGCCAGCACCCAGCTCGAGGCACCTAGAGCCTCGGATAGGCAAGCGCGCCGAGTCCGCCAGGTGCTCCAATGCCTTGGCCAGAACCACGCCACTGTCCCACAGCACCGACCCTGTCACGCCTGGCCGAACCTGCGCACCAGGTTCGGAGAGATGGGTTTCCAGGAGGATCAAGAACAGTGGGGTGGTGGAGATGGAGAGGGCGGGGAGAGGGCGGGGAGAGGACGGGGAGAGGACGGGGAGAGGGCTGGGAGCAAAGAGGGATGGCGAAACCAGGGAAAGGCGGAAGCGACGGGAGGTGCGGCGGCGACGGCGGTGGCGGTGGCGGTGGCGGTGGCGGTGGCGGTGGCGGTGGCGGTGGAGGTGGCGGACGACGCGCGCTAGCATGGAGTGGGGTACCTGCGAGGCAGGAGGGCGACTGCAGCATGTCGAGGACCTGACCGCACGCCTCGATGCGGACGGTGGTGGCGGCTTGATCCACGAAGCACCCCATGCGCGCCGTGAAGGGATCGCGCAAACCCCACAGCAGCATCACCTCCTCGCACGGGTCCCCTACCATGGCCACCGGCACGCCGAGGCGCCCCACCCACCCCTCCTCCGGCTCCGTAAAGCTACCATCTTCGCTACTCGTGCTTGCCTCGCCTTCGGCTGCTGCACTCGCCGCCATGGCTGGTTAGGAATCGTCCGTCGTTTAGGCTCGCCTCACTGCTGGCTTCGTTACAAAGCTGGTGGATGTGTGGTTTTCGTGTTATCGGAATCAAGAAAACAACGGAAGATGTTGGAATCCATCGAAGCATTTCATCGATTTATTGATGACCTTTAGGCTTCTTCAGTGATGCGTCGAGCAATGGTATTGTAAAGGGGATGGTGCAGCTTCCGTAAAATTGATGGTCGTAAAAAAAAAACATTTACTGTACAGTATGATGGTTCACTCGAAAACACAAACCGTTGGCTGAGGCGGGGGAACAGTCGTCCAGCTGTGTGTCGCACACGACCTTTTTGGGAACCTCCCGCCTCTTTGGCGATCCCGCCAGTCGTACATGACCGTCGTTGAGCCATTTTCAAATTCTTCCGACGGGTGAAACGATGCGGTTGCGAATGGCGACTGCAACGCTGGACAGGCTTTCCTCCACAAGACCTCCTCCACGCGACGCGGTCCTCCCCTTCCCTAGAACTCGCCGAGACACTTTTCACAAATCCAGCTCCTGCTTCTGAACACAGCTTCCCCTACATATATCGGTCTTCGGACAGATAGCGAGCTAATTTCAGTGTCACTTTCTCCCTCAATCCGCGGTCGTAACGTCTAGCACTCAGCTCTCTAAAGATTTTCAGGCATTTTTTCTACGTTTGGCAGCATCCAGCGCCTGACCATGACACAGACGGTTCTTTCTGAGAACCCTCAAGCGACAGTGGATATCCCTGTTGCCCCTGATGCCGAGACACCAGCCAAGGATAAGTCTATCTCGCGAGGGAATGAGAAGCTGGTTCATCTGATCCCGCTCATTTTAATGCTCAGTATGGCCGCACTCTGGGTATGCCACAAGGGTAAGCACTTTCCCAGCTATCAAATCTCTAATTCGCCACCACGATTATGGCAATACTTAATATAATTGGTGTGATTGGTGCAGACGTAGATATGGCCACGACCTCGAACGTCCACGGAATCTATAATTTCTCGGCAAAGTCTACTTCACTTTCGGAAAGGAGGCTTCTCGACGTCAAGGACGCCGCACACAAGGGAGCCATGCCGTCAGCTGATGTGCGAAAAGCACATGACAACGGCTCGCCATTTCGGAGCAGAATACTCCGGGCGATCTTTTCCCCAAAAGATGCTGAGAATACATCGAACCCGAAGTCCTCCGCCAAGACGTTTTCGTTTCCCTCTACATAGAAGTTTCAGCTGAAGACGCACTGCTGAATATTTACTGCTAACGGCATGACTTGTGCCATTCTGGCGTCGAGACACGAAATGTACGCGCATTGCTAACTAATTGCTACCACCCGTCAATTCCATTTTACTTGAGCTATGTTACGATGCCTGTGTGCACAAAATGGCTCAAACATGAAGCCCGACCGGCAGGTTGCGACTCCTTTTTTTTCTCGAAGTGCTGCATCTTGAGGTCCCTGTAACCGAGCAGCCAGCGTCAGACTTCAAAGAGCTCGCAATGGGTTTCGGCCTGGCAGTACTGGCAGGACTCCCGGAACTTGGCAGTGATGCACCCCTGCTGAGTACGGAAGAGAGCACGGTGACTGAGTGGGTTTGGGGTAGAAACCTTAGTGTTTAATAAAAATCTCGGGCGGGTACACCCGAAAAATGTGTTGTAGTCTTGTGCTTAGTACCACGAAGTCGCGTGATTTTTTACCTATTAACGTCAAAATCAAACATCATAATTTTCTTTCTGAACTGTACAGCCCGTTTCTTCCTGAAGAAAAAAACCAACCAGCTCACGCCCCGACAATGCAGGGGCCAATATGCAACCTGGGAGGAACAGGCAACTCTCTAAGTCCACAGCCCCTACTGCATCAACGTCCTGTCAAACGGCAGGAGTGTTGCAAATTCCGTTCACAGAAACAATACAATGCAACACAACATATCTTCGATCACTGCAGGTATCCCACCACCACCCTAGTTTGCCAACCACACAAAATATTCAGGGACATTTCTATAAACCAACGGGCAATAGATCTTTATGTAGCATCCTCCTTCCAAAACCTCATCTCTGCACAAGGGAATAGCAAAAAACAAGGAACTTAGGGACCTGGCAGCACGTGTACAACTTCATGAAGAGATCATGATGTACTTACCCTTGCCCCCCTTTGTGGCGTCCCACGACCCGCTCCTGCTGAACCATACCCAAATTTGGGCTTCTTCTCAGCAGGTTTCAGAATTTGGAAGGAGCACATGAGGCTCTCATCCACACTCATCATGGCCCCTGCATTGTCAAACTCCCCACAGTAATTGGGTGCTGAGAACACTGTGACCAGCTGCCGCTTAGCAAAGAACTCATAGCCATCTTCCACCACCTGGGCGGGAGACAAACGGGAAGTAAAGTTGGATGTGCAGAAGGTCAAAGCCACAACATAACGAATCAAGCAAAAATCACGATTGCACCAGAAGTACATACGAGACATCAAAGCACCAACCTGGTGCGCCCGACACACGAGGTCAAGGTCGTGTTTGTCAAGAAATTCTGTGACCGTGTCTCCTCCAAACGTGTACGACACACCCCTGTCATTATCCCCCCATCCCTGAATGTCTTTATCCGGGTCTGCCCACAATAAGTCACACAGCAGCCCTGCATCCGGAACATCTGTGGGGCGACCAATCTTCTTTATCTGCTCCAGTGAGCGCAGGTCTGGTGAGAGCCCTCCATGCATGCATAGGATTTTCTCATCTATGAGAGCAGCCACAGGGAGGCAGTTGAAGCATTCTGTGAAAGTCTTCCAGAGGCGGATGTTATACCTGATGAGCACCAGAGTTAAAAAATCATAAGTAGGAAAGGACGAAAACAGGAAACCGGAGGATAGATAAAAGGGGGAACTAATGGGGTGACTTGGACTAGTTAGAAGCTCTTATGTTTAGAGAAGGCACACAATTCTTACCTTCAATAACCGTCTTAAGTCGAAACATGGATATCTCCCCTTTTCCAACTCACCGGCGTTTGCACTCGTCATAGAAGCCGTAAATGCGGTTAATGGACGCACACTCGTGATTCCCACGCAAAAGGAAAAAATTCTCCGGGTACTTGATTTTATACGCTAGCAGCAGGCAGATCGTCTCCATGCTCTGCTTTCCACGGTCCACATAGTCTCCCAGGAACAGGTAATTCGCCTCAGGCGGAAATCCACCGTACTCAAAGAGACGCAGGAGGTCTGAGTACTGGCCATGAATATCACCTGCACGGAGCAGCAATGAAACGGAGTTCAGACAAGGGATAATGGAAGGAGTGGGAGGGGATCGGATGAGGAGCCGAGGGAATTAGAGGATGACAACATGGCTGCGCGGGAGTGTGGGATATGTGGCAGTTGTAGCAGATGACTATGACCTTAAGCACGTGTCGGGACTTAACAATCACAGGACACACCGCAAATTTTGATGGGAGCCTCCAGCTCGAGCAGATTGGGTTGTTGCAAGAAGATGTCTCGTGACGTCGTGCAGAGACTCCGGATCTCCGCTTCTGTCAGCTGCACCTGCTTGCCCGGTCTACCGTTCCTAACGTCCAGGAGACGAGCAATAATGTCGTCCAATGTCGCGTCGTCCATGCTGACTAGCGGCTAAACGGAACCGACAGTACACGAGATAACGGATGAAGAAGAAACGTCGCTATGAACGTTTGGCTTCCGCAAGGCAGGTATCTCTGTGGCAGATTCCTTTGAAGCAAGTGACGAGCAGAATGAATGGTACAGATGGACGGAACAACACGATAAAAGTTAACGACCCTTGCACTCGACGCCAGCTTAAGTCCTTACGCTCAACGTCCGCCCAGGAAATTTTACACTGACAAAAAGCTCTCAACAAGCCGTTTCAGTGCAGCGTAGGGGACTCTCACGACTAGGACTTAGGGTGAAACTAGCCTCCACAAGGCCTTCAAATCTCGCCTTTGAGGCGGGAAGCGGACTGCAGCCTCCAGCAATTCTCTAAGAGCTCAGCAGAGGCAAGCAATTCTCGGGGTTATGATAGGTGGGGGGGGGGGGCGGAGGACGTGATGGGGCAAATGGGTGTGACGAAGCACGGCGATGGATGGATGAGATGTGAGAGGAGTGGAGAGAAGAGGACAGCAGATGAGTGCAGAGGAGAGGAGAGGAGAGGAGAGGAGAGGAGGGGAGAGGTAGAGGGGAGAGGGGTGCGAAAGGAGGGGAGAGCGAGAGTTCGTGCTGACTGATCTGATGGATGGTCCTTGGGGTCTTCGACCCCCCCGAGGTGGGATGAGGTGGGAGATACTAGCCCACGAACGAACCGAAACCCTAGCACGACTGTCATCTGTGACTGTAGCGAGGGCGAGCCCACAATTTCATGGCCGTGACATATCATGCAACACTTTCTGTGATAAATTATGTTCAGGTAAATGCAGTTAGATGTTTCCAGTAAAATGACGTTCCTGCGAGAATTATATTGCATGTTTGTTACAATGTACTGCAAAACTATATCAAAGTTCCAGCGGTTTCGCATTGCATTATAAGCCTTCTCTGTTTTCCGTACACATGATTCATCCACCATGTCATGCATGCATGCATGCAGGAAACAAACTGTAAGTTGATTTTTATTTGTTCCGCTTCGTAACATTGATCCCTACTCCATACCTCCTCTCCAAGCATACCTTTCCTCCTGTGCTTCAGGTATTCTATGTACCTGCGAGTGCCATAACAGCCAGCTCACCGTTCCGCTTGCTTTCTCCGCCATGGCTCTTCGTCAAGCAGCCCGTCGCGGCGCCACAGTCGCCTTGCGCCTTAATCACCTACCTTCCCTCGCGCTTCCCGCCAGCACACGTCACCTCTCGCCCCTCCCCATCGTTTCATCCCCATCATCTTTCTCCACCATCCCCACCGCCGCTGCCTCTCCACAGTTTCCACCACCAACTCTACCGAATCTATCACCACCCGCGACCGCGGCTGTCGCAGTGGCGCCGTCGCGAGGCGTCTTGGCGGCTTCACGGCTCGTTGCGAGCGGCCGCGGCTTTGGTGTGTTGTGAGGAGAGCAGGATCGCATGGGATGGCATGAATTTGCACGGTGTCGCATGGGATCGCATGGGATCGCATGGGATCGCATGGGATCGTATGGGATCGCATGGGACCGCATGGGATCGTATGGGACCGCTGGCACGGTGGAGACAGCGTGCGATTGTCGTCCTCGCTGTTGTCCGTTTCTAGCTTACTCGTGAACTCGTCCGCGTACGCTTCACCTTCATCTTCCCTCCCCCCGTCTTTTCCCGCCTCCCCCCTACCTCCTCCCCCTCTTCCTTCATCCTCTATTTCTCCTCTCCTCCCGGCCCCTCTTTGATCCTGCTGCGCCTTGCTTGTCGCGCAGCGGCAGCTGCAGGCAGCACGGAAACTAAAGTCATCACCATTGCGACGCCTACCGAGTTCAAAACTCTAGTTAACGGTAATGGCCGCTGTGCTGGTATGGCCGCTAGTTTGCTGCTGGTGTTGTGCGGTTGATAAGGTATTGATAAAGGTGGAGAGAGATGTGGAGAGGCTGGCAGTGAGAGTGGATGGGTGCGCATGGCTCTACAAGGACCAGTGGAGCCTTGCTGCCCGTGTTGTGGTGCTGCTTGTGCCATAAACTTTTCCCTCTTTCATTCTTGCCCCGTGTTTGCGCCTTGCACGTGAGGGCATGTGTGCGTGGTTGCCTCTGTGTGTGTGTGTGTGTGTGTGTGTGTGTGTGTGTGTGTGTGTGTGTGTGTGTGTGTGTGTGTGTGTGTGTGTGTGCGTGTGTGTGTGCGTTTGTGTGTGTGTGTGGGTGTCCGTGTGCGTGTGCGTGTGATTGTGCGCGTGCGCGCGCGTGTGTGTGTGTGTGTGTGAGTGTGAGTGTCCGTGTGTGTGTGTGTGTGTGTGTGTGTGAGTGTGAGTGTCCGTGTGTGTGTGCGTGTGGGCATCAGACCCTTCGCGACTAGTGGTCGTTGACTTCACAGCACAGTGGTGTGGCCCGTGTAAGTCACCACTCCACTCCACTCCACTCCACTCCACCACCCTATCTCGTCATTCCACGCTTTCCTTGCCCATCCACCCTGCATGCACCCCACCCCCCTTCCGTGCGTCCCACCCCCTTCTGTGCATCCACCACTCACCCCTGGGTTCCCACTCTCGTAAACAACCTCTGGTCTCTGATGTACGCTCATGAGTGGAAACAGTTGAAAGTTGCAACAGAAGTGTCAAGAGGGCTCTTTACGTTGCGGACCACTTTGAACATTGCACCTAGGATTGGCTAAACGAGGGGTCAAAGGGTAGTAGTGCTGCAAACCACCTTGAAATCAATTATACACTTACAGTTAGACTTCATTGAGCTAGTAAGTAAAAAATGGTAAAGCTGCAGGCTCTCTTGTTTTTCTCTCCTCCTCCCTCCCCGCCGTCCCTCTCTGCCTCGCAGGTAGAAGCATCGCCCCGCTGTTGGATGAAATCAGCCGAACCCAGGACACTGTTGCCATTGCCAAGGTCGACATTGACGATGTGAGTCAGCTCTCACTTTCTCTCCCTCCCCTACGCCCACCTCTCAGACCCACCCACTTCGCCTCTTCCTCACCTCCCTCCCCCTCCCCTCTCTCCCCCCCCCCCCCGCCCCAAACCCCCCGTTCCCCTCCCCACCCCTTACGTTCGCTCTCTCTGTTCCTGTGGGTTTCTTCTTCCACATGCATTTCCATGCCATTGCATCCTTGCCAGTCACCGCCATGGTTTCCCCTTTTCTATTTCCTTGCTTCAACAGGGGGCACTAGCAGAGGTGGTCAATTCTGCCAGGATCAGCAGTGTAGTGAGTCTCCTGACACATTGATCTTGCAACTCTTTTTGTATTCCCTCTACACCCTGCATCACTCCGTGCTGCTATGCACCACTCTCCACCACACTTCACACCCATCTACTGAACGTTGGCTTTGTAAGTCACCACTTCCCATGGGTATGATGGCATAAAAACGCCTCTCCCTCCACTCTCACTTTCTGACTGCTGCCTTTCTCCCGATTTCTGCTCGCCTGTTGTCTTGTTACGGACGTTTCCTGCAGCCTACCTTCCGCTTCTACAAAGGGGGGAAGCTGTTGAGCCAGTTCAGTGGAGCAGACGCACTCAAGCTCAAAGACACCATTGCGTTGCTGCAGAAATAGTCATGGCATGAGGCTGCTGCGTGTGGCAGGATGTGTTTGGCATAGCTTGTTGGAGACAATTTCGTGAAATTCTTGCTGCTTGACATTGTACCAGTAAGAATAGTGGTTGAGAGGGGAGTTTTTTCCCTGTATGTGAAGGACAACCAGCGCTCTGTTGCAACCTCCCTCTGCAGCCACTCATTCGAGGATTTAATGCTAATCATCGTTTGCTGAATTGTGTGCATCGCCATAACATTGTGAAAATTATCAGGAGATCCTCACCTCAGTGCCTCAGCATTCCACCCACACCTCCTGCAAGAGGCAGAAGCTGGAGGCATATCTGGAGCAGCAACTACTCGTGCCAAATTGCTACCCTTTCAGTACATCTTCTGCTCTCTTCATCCCGCACACCCCCTGTTAAATCCCCCTCATACGATCAGAATGTCCCTTGCTTCCACTAAGTGCCCAACCTGGAAACCTGAACCCTGAACATCAGAATCAGTTCATCCCTAACCATGCCATATCAAAGCCAAGAAAGAAGCAGTACTAGACAACCTACCCACAACGATATCCGACGAGCTACAATCACTGCATCTCCCAAGTGAGTGCTGCAATCCCTATGACGCGGGAATCGGCCTGACAGGAGCCTGGGCATCCGCAAGCGCTGCAGCGAACATCTCCGCGCCACCCGCTCCGTCGTAGTACTCCGCCCACACACCCCTGTTCTTCTTGGGGTCGATCTTCCTCAGCGCCTGCCACACGGCACTCTGGCACTTGAAGCCAGAACCAAACGCGATCTGCCACACGCGGTCGCCACGGCGGACGCGACCCTGTGCTTCCGAGTAGGAGAGCTCGTACCAGATGGACGACGAGGACGTGTTGCCAAAGCGGTACAGAGCCATGCGCGACGGTTCGGTCTGGTAGTGCGTCAGATCGAGGTTCTTCTCGAGCTCATCAATCACAGCGCGACCACCGGCGTGGATGCAGAAGTGTTCGAACGCGAGCTTGAAGTCCGGCACGTACGGCTTCATCTTCACGCCAAAGACCTTCCGAGCGATGAGCACAGCAGCGAACAGCAGCTGCTCGGATAGCGGCAGCACGAGCGGGCCTAGCCTGGTGATATTCGTGCGGAGGGACTCTCCAGCGACGTTCATGAGGTCCTTAGACAGAGCGACGCCGACCACCTTGTTGTCGTCCTCCTCCTGAAACACGCACTTGTAGCTCTTGTCGTCCTTGCCCATGTGCGTGCGCACCACGTGCTTCAGCTCGTACTTGGCGCGGCGGCGCTCGCTGCTCTTGTTGGTGAGCAGCATGGCGGCTCCTCCGAGGCGGAAGAGGCAGTTGGAGACCTGCATGGAGCGGCGCGTGCCCAGGTATATGTTCTGGGAGATGTTCTCCGTGGACGCCACCACGGCGTACGTGTTGGGGGTCACCTGTGGGTGGATCCAATCGGCACCCCAGGATTAGACAGGGAGGAAAGAAAGATGATGGTTAAAGATGGAGAGGCAAAAGTTGCCAGTAGAATGAGTTTAAGACCGATATGCGTGAGATAAATGGTTGTCTAGAACTCCAATGGCTGGCTGATTGTTGCACAGCAAGTTCATGAGTGAGTCGGCTCGCATTTACATGTTCTCCATCATCCGACGACTCCTCATTTCACGGCATTTAAAGTGTGCAAGTCAGCTTTTGAGTCGAGTCAAAAGCAGATCAACTACCTCTCACCTGGAGTAGATCCTGAGCGAGCTTGATGGCAATAAGCCCGGCGCTGCACCCCATTCCTCCGAGGTTGTACGACTGGATGTCGTTGCGCATGCCGTACTTGTTCACCACCATGGCGGACAGCGACGGAGTCGGGCAGAAGATACTGCAGTTCACCACGAGGATGCTGATATCCTTCGGCTTAACTCCGGTCTTCTCGAACAGCGCATCGAGGCTCCCGAAAATGACCATCTCCGCCTCTTTCCGAGCCTCCGCCAGGCTCGGCGTGATCGGGAACGTTCTCAGGCATTTCGGAAGGTAGGTCCGGTCGCCGAGACCGGATCGCTCGACAACCTTCGTCTGGAACTCGACGCTCTTGTCGTCAAAGGTCGGGGTGCGACGAGCGAAGTCGAGGCCCTCAGCGCGTGTCATGGCGAGCTCTTCCGAGGGACGGAAACAGGCGTAGTCGACGAGCAGAACACGAGTGCGCCTCGTTGCGAAGTACAAGGCGGCGGCGAGGAGGATAAGGTTGAGGGCGACGAAGACGGGGACGGCATTCTGGTGCAGGAATTCCCAGAGCGCCTGCACGTCGTCGGGAGACATGCGAGCCACGCGAAGAGCAATCGCTGCCAGTATAGGCAGCAGGATTACAGGACCGCTGTTGGACACGACGAAATGGTACGCCAGCTTCAGCTTGTTTTTGCTTGAACTGGCCTGAGTTGAATCAACAGGATCTGCTTTCCCGTTGGCCTCGGCATGTTGACTCTCGGAACCCATCTTGTGCGAAACAACTACGGTCTTAAGGTTCCAACAATAGCAGATCACGAATACGGATCCGGAATTACTAGCACTACGTGTGGCATGCCAGGATCCGGGCGGAAATCCAACTTGAAGACCTGAGAGTGGAAAGAAAGGTTGATGGAGAAGGTTGAGGCAAAAATGCTTTGTGGTTTGGTTTGGGGGATGCAGGCCAGGAGATCTCAGGCTTATTCGTGGCTTTTCACGTGTCGGGATTTACGGTACAGCACGAACCGTCCCGCCAGGCATCAAGTTATTTCCAGTTGTCCTGAATCTCGAAACGTAACGCAAACCGATCTGCTTACATCAAGGTGCCTGTGACACCTTGCGTCTGAAAACGCTCTCGATTCTCGACCCGCCCATTTCCAAATCCCGAGGTGTCGTCACACCTCCATGTCAGGTTGTGCAGCAGGGCAGTGTGGCAGGGCTGGTCTGACAGCTTCACCTTCCCGCTGAAACTGCCTACACCACCCTAGTTTCTGATCCAGGCGGTGCCCAAGCCAAACTCAAGGCGCCCAAACTTTGGTTTGGCTTGGCAGCGGTCGCATGGCTTGAAGGGATTGGCAGGAAGTGTAGCATGAGATTGACGAACCGAAACATTACAGCTTGTTTACTGGAATATTCAATTTTACTTCCAGAGCTTGTTTCATGAAGCACATTCAGATAGTTATCTTACCCTCACTCTTGCAGCTCGGAGCTAGGTAATTCTTGGTGCTTCATCTGGGGAACTAACAGTAATGAGGGCTCTGCTCAGTTGTGGAAGGGCTGCTCCACAGGATACCACCCCTAGGGACATCGATTATGCAGGTTTCGGCTAAAGCTAACAGAACTGTACCATGTAGTAGACAAACAAAATGCGAGGCTATCTAATGCGATGACCACTCCAGTTCTGCATAGCACGAGACATCAAGCGCTTAAGCTACTGGAGGGGCCTAATTGGAGCCAAAGTATCAGCCACAGCTGCAGCATGGATCTCCTCCCCGCGAGCGCTTTCGTAGTACTCCGCCCAAACGCCTCTGTTCTTCTTGGGGTCGATCTTCCTCAGCGCCTGCCACACGGCACTCTGACACTTGAAGCCAGAGCCAAACGCGATCTGCCACACGCGGTCTCCACCGCGGACGCGACCCTGTGCTTCCGAGTAAGAGAGCTCGTACCAGATGGAAGAAGAGGACGTGTTGCCAAAGCGGTACAGAGCCATGCGCGATGGCTCCACGTGGTACTGCGTCAACTCCAAGTTCTTCTCAATCTCATCAATCACAGCGCGACCGCCGGCGTGGATGCAGAAGTGCTCAAATGCGAGCTTGAAGTCCGGCACGTACGGCTTCATCTTCATCTTAAAGACCTTCCGAGCGATGAGCACAGCAGCAAACAGCAGCTGCTCCGAAAGTGGCAGCACAAGCGGACCAAGCGTGGTGATGTTGGTGCGGAGAGCTTCGCCAGCCACGTTCATGAGATCGCGAGAAAGGGCAACGCCGACGATCTTGTTGTCGTCCTCCTCCTGGAACACACAGCCGTAGCTCTTGTCGTCCTTGCCCATGTGAGTGCGCACCACGTGCTTGAGCTCGTACTTGGCGCGGTAACGCTCGCTGCTCTTGTTGGTAAGGAGCATGGCCGCTCCACCAACTCGGAACAGGCAGTTGGAGACTTGCATCGAGCGGCGGTTTCCAAGGTACAGGTTCAGGGAGATGTTCTCTGTTGATACCACGACAGCGTATGTGTTAGGAATGACCTGCATGAGAAGGGGCGACAAAAGAGCGACATCGTTTGGAAAAATGTTAACCCTTCCGTTTGCAAATCGAACGAGCTAGCGCGTCTTTTCATTCAAAAACAGGGGGGTTCGGACAGGCAAAAACAATAGCTTGGCGCCATTTCTTTGGCGAACATCATAGGAAGTGTTACCTGAAGCAGATCTCGTGCGAGCTTGATGGCAATAAGCCCAGCGCTGCAGCCCATACCACCGAGGTTGTACGACTGGATGTCGTTGCGCATGCCGTACTTGTTGACCACCATGGCGGACAGCGACGGAGTCGGGCAAAAGACGCTGCAATTCACCACGAGGATGCCAACGTCTTTCGGCTTAATGCCGGTCTTGGCAAACAGGTCGTCCAGGCATCCGAAAATAACCATCTCAGCTTCGTTCCGAGCTTCGGAAACGCACGGCTCGATGGGAAGCTTGCGGAGGCAACGCGGCAGATGGGTTCGGTCGCCGAGGCCGGAACGCTCAGCAACCTTGGCCTGGAAATCCAGGCTTTTCTCGTCGAAACATCCCATTTCACGAGCAAACTCGACACAGTTCTTCTGAGTAATAGCGAGTTCCTCGGGTGGCATAAAACAAGAAAAGTCGACCAGCAGAACATCCTTCCGGCGTGTGAAGAGGTACAGCGCGGTAACAAACAGGATTAGCGTCGATCCAGCAGTGACCGCGATTGCGTTCGCGTTAAGGAAATCCAGAACCATCTGGATGTCTTCAGGTGTAAAGCGATTCAAGCGAATAATAACCGCAGCCAATAAAGGAATCAGCATCAGCGGTCCACCATGTGACACGACATAGTGAAAGCCGAGCTTCATGACGCGATTGGATGCATGCTGGGTAGAAGCCTGAGACGGTTTCGCCGACCCATTTGTTCGTAACTGGTCCTTGGAAACAGCTTCTGCGGAGGCCATAGCGCTCAGAGCTCTATCAAACCCTGTGCAAAGAGCCTAATGTAAAAAACACAAATCACCTCAACTTGTCTACTCCAACAAATGGAGCTCTCAGCAGGATAAAGGGCAACATTGCTCAAGAGAGGCCCAGGGACTGGGAGGCTTGTTGATTGTGGGGGGATCCATGATCCTCCCAATTCCCGCTCTTTTTTCTTCGGTTCCAATGGTTTGTCTTCATGCATCCGTTGCAAGAATTTGTCTCCAAAGTTCCACCGCTCGATTCCAATTCCGAACCAGGTGACCAGCTCCGGAGTATGCCAGTCGGGAACAAATCACTGGCTGTCAGAGGGCCTGTTCACGTCGTCAACCAATCTCGTCGACTTACTGTCGCGGCCTGACTGGTTCGTGCGCCCAGGTTTGGCGAATAAAGGGCGCGTCCCAAAGGTGCGCTTCCCCACCAAAACAATATTCAACCATTCTGAATATTATGAGAGAGCTCCTAAACGCAAAGCAACTTACTGCACCGCAATCAAGCGTCCTGCAGGTTAGGGCGTGTCTAGACTGACAGGTGGGCGTTCAAGGGAGACGAGCTCTCGCCTCTCGAGGCGGACATGATCATTTTTCCACCGTCCATGAGCTAGACAATGAGGTCCCCTAGCCACAGCACTTCCACCACGTGAATCGCATCGAGTGGCTGCTGGATGAAGCCTAGGTGCTCCCCGAGAGCACCGAGATCGGCTCATGACGTCACCTCACGAAACACTCCTCAGTTATACGGTGCTGTCTAGCCCCATGCAACATGCTATGATGAGTGCAGCCAAGTGTTAGATGAATGAGATGTATTAAGAAACATATACCAAAAAAGCAGACTTAGATGATATGAAAAGGTGCTACTTGGTTCTATTAATTGTTTTATTTGATTTCAATCAATTGGATATGTTTAAAAATAACTCGGTTCCTGTAAGTGGTTTGAAACGTCATTCAGATTTCTTAAAGACCATTATTTTCCAAGACATTGCTCTTATATGCACACATTTTGAGTTTTTGGGTGATAATGGTTGTATTTCTTTTAGCATTTATCTTATGCTAGAATCAATAGCCTTGAAGTTAGATGTCGTTGCAAGAAACTCTAACCCGGTTCAGAGCGGTTGGGGGTCGTCCTTTTGCATGCAGCTTTGTGCCTCCCTCCGTCCCTAAGACTGCGTGGGGTAGCGAAATTGGTAGGACGTACGGCGATGTACGTCTGGCACACCATGTAGCGGCAGGGTAAACTGTAGCTGTGTCAGGGGTACCGGCGTTTCAGGCAGGCTAGTTGCAGGCAATGGACGGGACTTCAACACTGTTTCGACAATGGGCAGATCCGAAAATTTCGGAACGGCACGATCATACGAGAACCTGTGGCTGTGCAGTGTAAAATTATATATTTGATATATATATAATGGTAGGCTGGGTAGGTGTTACTGGATTCTACTGTAAAGGGCACAACCTGTTAAATTATATATGTTAATCTATAATTGTAGGCTTCGTAGCGATTACTGAACATTACCGTTGAGGGTACAACACCCTCTTTGTATCCCTCTCTCTTCTTTCCTAGTACTCCCTTTTTCTCTCGACATTCTCGTCCACCTCCTAGATCTAATCTCACACCATTTCCATGGCTCCCCCCATTCCTACCTAGTCTAACTTCACAACAGGGTTTCAGAGCAGGACGCCCAACCTGGGCCTGCTCCCCTCCTCGCTTCCGCTGCGTTCTCGTTCCCTGTTCGCCGCCGTCGCGGCCTTCCTACTGCCTGCTGCCGTCGCGGCCTTCCTACTGCCTGCCGCCGTGGCACCTTTTCCAAGATGCCGCGGCGGCCTTTGTGTGCTGTCGTCCCAGCGTCGACGAGCAGCCGCGGCTCCGACGCCACGATGTAGTGGCGTCGTCGTGGTGCCGCGGCCGTGACGTCGGCCTGTTGCCGTTGCGCACGACCTGCGTCGCTGCTGGAATTGCAGCCCGCCCGCACGGTAGTAAGCGCCGCGCCTGCAATGGCGCCGCGCTGAAAATCCGAAGCCCCGCCCCTTCCCCCTTCCCTCCGTCCCCTCCTCTTCACCACAACCGTCGCCTGACTCTCGCCGGTCGTCCCCCTGTCGCGGAGTATGGACACGCCGCCGGAAGGGCGGGGGCCAGTGCCGTTACCGCCGTCGTAAGCCGAAGCCGTCGCCGTCGCCGCTGTCGTCGCCGCAGGCCTGTTGCCGCCGCACGCCCGTCGTTGCCGTCGCTGTCGCCGCTGCCAGGACTGCTGCCGTCGCCATCTCCAGGGCCTTAGGGTTGGCCCAGCTGGAGTAGACGTGGCTGATGGGAATGGGGGTGCTAGGTTAGGGGGTGTGGGGGTCCTTGCTACCAAGCCTAGGGGGTGTGTTAAATTATATATGTTAGTATATAATTGTAGGCTTGGTAGCAGTTACTGAGCATTACTGTAGAGGGTACAACACCCCTCTTTGTATCCCTCTCTCTTCTTTCCTGGTACTCCCTTTTTCTCTCGACGTTCTCGCCTACCTCCTAGATCTAATCTCACGCCATTTCCATGGCTCCCCCATTCCTACCTAGTCTGACTTCACAACACAACCCCCCTTCTTGTATCCCTCTCTCTTCTAATCTCATACTCTTCTCTCTCGATATTTCTCCTTCCTAAACCTCACGCCATTCCATGGCTCCTACTCCTACCTAGCTCATCTTAACATGCAGTTGTGTGGGAGCAGCTGGAATTAACAACCTCGGCGCTATTCACCACGACGACCATCTGGAGGTGAAGACGCTGTGCTGGAGTGAGTGTACTCAGCGAGGGCGACTTCCCGCGTGGGGAGGCGTTTTTCGTGGACCAGCGATTCATACCCCCACGATCTAACGGAAACTGAGGCCACCACCCCTGGGTGTGTATTAAGTGTTTTTCCACCGGTCGCCGAATGCGTTAACTGTCAAGAGCTGAAGCAATGGGAGAAGAACGATGTGAGTACTGGAGAAGATGGGTTAGCGGCGTTTAGGCTGCTACTTGCTCAGCTACGTCGCCCGAAAATCAGCATTCCCACCAGGTAGCAGTGTCGACTTATCAAATGACGGCTTCAGGCTGAATAAGCGGGGTGAACCTGCGAACTACACTGTGCTGATGGAGTGTCCCCGAATTTTTCAGAGTTACTATTGCCGCGGAGCTGAGGGTTTCACCTGGTGTAGCAGAAGGAGGTTCCGACTTTTGCGGGTGTAGTTTAACGAGTTTCCGACGGAGGAGGGAGCTGTCCAGCGGTCACTAGGCGAGCTCGTTAAAGCTCCTCTGACTAGAAGCGTGCGCACTCCTATCTCTGCGGATTCTCCTAGTTAGTTAAGCAGCAGCGAAGCCAATTTTGGGTAACATGCAGCAGCCTCGAGATGGGTGAACGTCTGCATGGCCAGGTGGACAGGGGTAGAGGTACTAGAGAATTTCTAGAGTTGGGTAACAGCTGGGCGGAAATCGACGGGGTATGATGCGCGTTGACCCCGATCGACGGCCAAAACATCATGCCTTGTCGGTGGACTCCGATGTTCCCTAACATAAAGGGTGTCGTTCATGCGTACAACTGGTGGAGAAACCGTGGGGGCACTGCTAAAGGACGCCGTGATGCCTGGGTGTTTTATGGGTAGCTGTGAAGCGGAGTTACGGTATTTGCAAAGTATCATGTGGTTCCGTCATTCTCACTGGAGCGGATCATGGATTTATAGCTGGAGCAGTACCCGCTATCATCGGGGGTACGAGCAACATCGACCGAGTTTTGCGGAGTATTTTGGGTACATGGACAGGGGGAGAACAGTAGCTGTTTCAGTTCTTCCCGATTTTTTCGGGCGTGTACAGACAAAGAAGTTGATACAGCTGGAGTCATTCGACTACGGGTTTCGTTCGAGGATATTCACTGGAGTGGTTCGGGACAGGTTACAGGTCATCGTCATTGTCTTCTTCCTCTTGTCACTATCCGCTACCGCCTCCATCATCAATTCGCCTGATTCAACCTACAGTGTGAACACGACCCTGCCTCGCCAGTCGAATCGAAAACAACAATATCGGATTTACAGAAAAATTGGCAGCATTGCTGTTGGAGCTGTGTTGGGACCAACACGCAAGCAACGTTTGACTTCTGAAGATTTTTTGAGTTTGTGTAGGAGTCTTCTAGAGCAGTAGTTGCGGAATTACAAGACGTTCGAATCGGTTTCCCCTAAAGCCAATCTTTTCTTGGAGCGGATTTTGGAGTTCTCATCATCGGATTTTTGCAGCGGCATCTTCAAAGCTGAGTATGAGAATTTTAAGCACCAGTGTGGGATTATTTCGACTACCCTGCAGCATTGGGTTTCCTGGAGTTCTACCTAGGAAATTGGGAGCTATGTCTTCTTGGAGGGGGGAGAAGTGCAGCTGTGTTGCAATTTTTCGTCTGACCCTTCGGCATGTTCCATCATCCATCTTTGAGCATCATTCGTCACCAGGGTCCTAAATAGCAGAGTTTTTTTGTCTGATTGTCTAATTTTGAGACTGGTTTTTAGGGGTTTCTCTGATTTTTCAGACAACGGTTTGAAAAAACTCTGATTGGCCTAGACAAGTTTTTAAGATTTCTCTGAATTTCTCATACTAGGTGTACCCGTTTCTCTGATTTTTAGACAAGTGAATCGAGTTTCTCTGAAACAAAAGACATACATGTGTACCGGCTCCACACACACCCCTCACACCCCAAAGATTTCGGTGAAGTCCCGCACACTAGAGACATTCCTCCCCACACCCCTCGCATACCAATTTTTTTTGCTAAGTTCCCCACACCAGTGACATTCCTTCCTCCCCACACCCCTCGGTCCCCAAAAGTTCTGGCTAAGTCCCCCACATCAGAGACATTCCTCCCCATACCACTTGGGGGTGGGGGCAAACCCTGAAATGGCAGGGCCAAAAGAGAGGGCTGCCTGCACGTGGCACGTCACGTGAGTCTCATCACCCACGTCCCCTTCGCCCTCGGCCCCGCAACACGTCACCCCACATCACCCTGAGTCCATGATTGACACAGTCAAGCACCCCACCCCACGTGAGAACCCGGGTCTTGCAGGAA